TGTCTACTCCACTCCTCTCTTTTCACCCCCTGAGGTCTGCTGGAGACTCAGCCCACCTCACTGGGGAAGAAAACCCCAGATGGACATCTATATCTATGTACACACAGATGATTTTCTTAGAACAGATTCCTAGATGTGAAATTGTGGGTCAAAGAGTTCTACACATTTTAAAATATTTTGGTATACATTGCTAAAACTTTTACCAGTTTACCTTCACAAAGGTTATATGGAATTACTTTTTGCTAGAAAATTATCAGCAAAGGTTGAACAAAGAGTATGGAGAACTTTTTTCCCTACTGGTTCAAACAGCTATGTATTTTCATTTAAAACTTTAAAATATAAATTTCACTTAAAACTGTGGATAACATGGCCCACACTCTGGACCACAGCTTTAGCCAAATGAAACCTTCCAGAAGCCCCATTGCAACCTGACCGAGGCATGTTCCTTGATGCAGGGGACTCCACCCTGAGTTTGTCTGTGTTGCGGAAGGGGAACGCAGCCCTGTACCTCGCAGTGAAGCATGGTCACAGCTCTGTGATACGGGTGCTGCTAACCCAGTCTGAAGAAATGAATGAGACCAATGATGTATGTGGAGGTGCTCGTTGCAGCTGGGAGTGGGGCTCACAAGTGGAAGAGTGGCAGGAGTGACTTTCAAGAAAGGAATGGGAGGAGAACAAAGATGTTAGTGCCACAGGGTGTAAAATGTGATGCTAAAAGATTTCTACTTTTTTCTTTAACCTACAGTAGTTCATTTGTTAATCCATTCATCCAAAAAATATTTACTATGCACTCTGTGCTAAGTAGGGTATATATTTTTATTCTTGAAGGCTACAAGGCAAGAAGGGCATGCCAAAATAATATATTGGGCTAAATTAAATAAGAGATATCTATTCAGTGTGCTGTGGGAACTGAATATATTATCTGAACCTTGGCCTTTAAATGGACATTGGCAGGAGAAGGTTTGAGAGGAACACAAGCAAGCATACAGTATTTCAGGCAAAGGGACGAGTCCATACAAAGAAACTGAGGCATGAGGGAGCATATTGTGTCCTGGGAATTACAAGCTCAGTGTGGTAGAAATTAAGGACAGGTGGGCCAGGAAAAGGGGGAGCTCAGTGGGCAGAGGCAGAGAGGTGGTAAAAGGCTGTGCTTACCAGGAGGGAGGTTTGGCTTTGACCTGTTGGCAGCAGAAGGGTTTTAAGCAGCAAAGAGGAATGGGACCCATCTTGGGGGTAGGCAGATAACTGTCACAACTAAGAGGTTGGAGGTGGGGAGCCCTAGTCAGGTGACTGCGTAAATGGCTAAAGCAAGGGCTATGGAAAGCCCCTCACAGGCAGCGACTAGGATGAGGTGATAGGAGGAGGCAGGGGCTACAGGACTTATAACCAGAGATCAGGGAGAGGGGAGACTTTCTGACCTCTAGCTCTCTGGCTTGGATGCCTGGGAGGGTGGGGTCCCTGAGCTTTTGAGTACAGGGGTAGGGCAGGTGAGTGAGGGCAATAATAAAGGTTTGGATGAGTTCATGTTGAGGTACCTGGGGCGGAGCAGTGGGTATATTCAGGTGGAGAGCTGCAGGGAGAGATAAACCAGGTCTGGGGTTCAGTGGGCAATAGGGAGATAAAAACTGAGTCTGAGGTTCAGTGGAGAGGCTGTGGCTGTGGAGGCAGATTTGTGTCATTTACCCTGGATAGTTGCTGTTTAACCTTTGGATCAATGAGTTTTGGGCTGGTTCTCTGGAAACTCAGGTAAGTAGAGTCTTCTTGGATTTCGTAGTTTAATGTTTTGAAAAATTCTAAACTTGGCACCTCTCCTGAGAGATCCTATAAGAAGTAATAGGTAGTACTTCTGCCAATTAAACTGTGACAGAAAGAAGCTCTCTTGTCTCTTAGAATATATTTATTGAAATAGGTTTTTAGACTTTTTGTTATATGTATGTAAAGGAGCAAGTAAGGAAGTGAAGTATTCCTACTTCACACATCCAGCCCTATTCTCTGAATCACTTTCTTACTCAGAGTTTTGATATCCTTGCTTTTCCAAACAAAATATTGTCCTCCGTCCCTTCAAAGGTGCTGAGGCAGCATTTCTTCAAAGGACACACACTATTGTTTCTGAGACTGTTATCCAAGTCCGCAGCAGCCATTCTGCACACATGAGCATTGATAGCTCTATCACGTCTGCTGCCTGGTCAGCTGAGATTGTGGGATGATGGGTCCTGACCTCAGACAGGTTAACACATGAAAGAGCATGTGACTTAGAATTGGTGAGGTGTGGTCATAAAAACAGCATCTGTGAGTGACATAATGGAAATTGAAGGCTATGAAAGTGAGCATGTGTGGTGCATGTGAGACGTCAGTACTCCCTTTTGACCAGAGACGCCCATCAGCCTGGTCCTGTGCATCCCTGGACCTGGGCATGCAGAGGTTAAAAGCAGGGCTTTGACTGCCTGTCCTGGCTCCATCACTCTTCTAGCTGGTTGATCTTGGACACATCACTTAGGCCCTTTCAGCCTCAATGTCCTCATCTGTAAAATAGCCTTGAAAGGCCACAGTGAGCTTTAAATGGGAAGGCTGTGTCACACACACAGTCCATGTGCAGCAGATGGTATCTGCTCTTATATTGGCGTTATCTGGGTGCAATGAGTGGGATTGTGGTTATCGCTGGTATCAGTGGTACATTTTCTCACCCTCACTATTTTCTCATCCAGTTTCTAGAAGAAGGTAAGCCAGGCTTTTACCTGAGGGTCCTGGCCACAAACAGAGCCTCCATTTGTTTACTTTTGTGTGTGTGTTCACTCTTTTCTAACCATCTGGCATGATGATCAGGATTAATTGGTTTAACTTAAAGAAGATCCCAGGAATTTGGTCTTTTTGAATGAAAGTTAGGACCGATGTTTTAGAAACTCAAAAAGAATATGCATCACCTCGGGTAAATCATAGGCCTGATTTGCCTTCACAAATCAATATAGAGATCAAGTCCTGTAGTCACAGGATTTAATTTACAGTCTTAGTTGTGTTTGCCCTGTTCTGTTTTAATGCTTTACCACTGGAATGTGTGCACTTGGGTTTCATCCACCTTTTAGCTATTTTCGAGTCAGGGCACATTGAGGAGAACTCATAACATCCAAGAAACTGTAATTACAGATTATGCTAGGCGTCATTTGCACAGAGTAGAGTGTCTGGGGATATTATTAGCCTTTTGGATAAGGCCCATAATATCCATACGGTCTCTGGCTGCCTCCCGTTTCTTGGTAGAAGCTGTTGCCAGAGCAGCTGGAGTGACGCATGTGAATATACTCGACAGCAATTGTCTCCAAACATCTTTGGTAACAAACTCATGTGAGTAAAGAAAGTTTGTGCATGCGCCTATCACATATAGATTTATAATTAAATTAATGCATTACAAAACATATGCCAGAAATAGACATTTTAAAAATGTGAGATAAGAATCAACATAAATAGTGGTTATCATATTTCCCCCACACTGAAAGGATTAACCTGTATACCTCTCATGTGTTTTCCTGTCAGCTTTCTTTGAGTTCCTATGCATGTATATATTACAGTGGCTGCCCCAAACTCATTTAGTTTGCTATTTATTTATTTAGTCTATTTCAGTTTTTCTTTATTATATGCTATCAAGAACCTCTTTGTACATAAACCTTAGTTTGAATTCCTCACTATTTCCTTTGGGTATATTCTTAGAGGTAGGATTCCTGGATCAAAGATATGAACATTTATTAGACTCTTAATATGTTAAAGATGTGAATTCTTTCCTTTGCATTTTTTGGCAAATATTTTTCCACTGGGGTTTGCCTTTTGGCCTCTCTTTTTCTGGAAAAATGAGAAGGTAGATTATGAAGAGAAATTCTGTTGTAACAGATGGCTGTCCCACGCACTCAGGTAAAGCAGACTGGGATACAGTTTTTCTATCTTGTGGGAATGGGAACATTGGTTCCATGCTCTTGCATCCCTGTTAACATGATTGTTCATATTTAAATAGCCACAAGTAAAACCTTCTGAACGTGTCCTCATGCAGTTTTCAAGAATGTTATTCTTAACATCTAATGGGGAAATGGTTGGGGAGTGGGGAAGGAAAATATTTTTAGGAAAGAATCTGCATGAGGAGGGGAAAATATCCAAGTAGCTATTATATGAGACCAGTTTCTTCTTTTCTCTATATTTTGACCTAAACTCACTTTGTCCTACTAGTGTTCGTCATGAGTTTCAGGAAACTTAATTACTGAGATAGCATATTACTTTTTTGTTAATGACATACAATGTTTTAAATCAATTTTAAAGGTTAAAGCTATACTTGGTGTAAATGTGCTTCTATTTTTGTGTTTCACTCATCATAATTCCTTGTTTCGGTGATTATCTTTCTTAACAAGCTGTTACTGTCTGGTGGGTAGGGTCTGTGTCCTATGTGTCTTTCCAATCTCAATGCCTAATAATGTTTGACAGATAATATGTCTAATAAATGTTTGCTGGATAAATTGATAAAGGTTAAGAGGATGAATGGTGGAAAGTCTGAAAGGAAACTGCATAACAGAGTAGTTAAGAATGCAGGCTTGGGATCCAAACAGTTGGTCTTGCATCCTAGTTTTTCCACTTTTCAGCTGAGGCTCAGTTTCCTTATCTGTAAAATGGGGATACTATTAATCCTGATCTCATGGGGTTGTTGTACAATTTAGCAGTGCCAAAGCATATAGTCTTGGCAATATGTGCTCGCACATACATGCTTAATAAATGCTATCCATTATTAAGAGTAATATACAAAAGATGGAGAGAAAACACTCTTTTTCTCAAGTAATTTCATCCCATGACAAGAGGTAATTAATTTTAACGTTTTTCCTTTTGTTAGAATGGAGAAACGCCATTCTTCCTGGCTGTTGCAGGAGGTCATGAAGAATGCAGCAAAGTACTACTGGCAGCAGGAAGTGATATCAACATTCCAAATAAAGTATGTGCTCCCTTCCACATTCACTCACACAGTGGGAAGGGGACTCAGGATGCTCTCTGGGTAATCTGGTCCTGTGTTGATCCACTCACTGGGCTTTTGTAAAATTAATATTTATAATTTGCTTTGTTTTGAGTAAGAATTAGTGATTTATCTCTGACATTTCCTAATTAATGTTTCCTCAAAAGCAATGCCATTCTCCCTATTTATTATTTAAAATTTTATAAAATTTATTTTTAATTTTTTTATTTTTTAGAGACAGGAAGGAAAGGAGAGAGACAGAGAGAAAGAGAGAGAGAAACATCTGTCAGTTGCCTCCTGTAATCGTCCTGACTGGTGATCGAACCCACAACCTTTTGGTACACAGGATGATTCTCCAATCAACCAGCCACACTGGTCAGGGCTCTTCCTGTTTATTTGGGGAGGGAATAATTGAAAATGAGGCAAAAGGAGTAGATAGTTGTTACTTCTCAAATGCAGAGACATTCTTACTCTGCTTTGTTGTCACCCTACCAACTAATACATGCCTGACTGATTCATCATAGATGTTGCAAAAAAAAAAAAGTATTATGTGAAAGCCCAGGGATCAGTCTGGAGCCTGGAGAAGACAGGATGGTGCCTTTCTTTTTCTTCTTTTTAAATGTGTTTTTATTGATTTTAGAGAGAGAGGAAGTAGGGGAGAGAGAGAGGGAGAAATATCGATGTAAGAGTGTAACATCGATCGGCTGCCTTCTGCACACTCCCTAGTAGGGACTGAGTTTGTAACCTGGGCACGTGCCCTGACTGGGAATTAAACCAGTGACCTCCTGGTGCAAGGGACAACACCCAACCAACCAAGCACACCAGCCAAGGCTGGCGCCTCCTTCTAAATACAAAATAGTTCAGTGCTAACATCCTCTGACACCTGTCTTCATTTTTTAGATGAGAAAACTTGCATTTAGAATAAAGTTATGGCACTCATCGGGGATCACACGACTAGTTAATGGCAGTGCAAAGATTCAAGCTCAGGGCTTGAGCTTCTAACCACTGCTATGGCTTTGTCTTCAGATGGTTTTACTTCCTTTTTCTATTTTTTCTAATTAATTTTAAATTATAATGAAAATAACAAAATATTTTGAATAGTACCAAAGGGTCTGTGATGAAAAGTATCTTATTCCACCTCCACATCTCAATTTTACCTCCTCAGATTTAACATTATTAATAGTTTATTTAATCTTACATGGTAAATGTCATTGAGCATATGCACATATACACACCTACAACACATGAATGGTAGCCATATATATTGCTCTGTACCTTGTTTTTGTTTAAATTGCTAATATATATATTGGAGATCTTTCCATATCAGCACAATGTATAAACAATTCCTCTTCAGAATTGTTAAAGAAAAAAGTCCCAAACTGGTACTGCTTTACCCTTTCATTCTGCTGGCAGGACTATACATTTGTTTAATCCTCTTGAAAAGCAGTTGGTCACTTTTCTTTCACCCAAGTTTGAGTATTTATTTATTTTTAATTCTCACCCAAGGATATGTTTTTCATTGATGTAAGAGAGAGAGAGAGGAAGGGAGTAGGAGAGAGAGAGAGAAATATTGATGGGAGAGAGAAACGTCGATCAGTTGTCTCATGCACTCACCCTGACTAGGGATTGAACCTGCAACCTGGATATGTGCCCTGACTGCGAATCGAACCTGTGACCCTTCAGTGTATGGGATGATGCCCTAACCACTGAGCCACACTGGGCAGGGCAGATAAATTATTTTAAGGGAATAATTTAAAAGGGGGAAAAAGCTTCGTGCATTAAAATAGATGTTAAAGTTACCTCCAACAGCCAAGAATTAGATACAGCCTATAAGTGCAATGAATGTAGGGAAAGGCTAAATAGAAATTTGGTTCACTTCTTTCTTTTTTTTTTTTTTTTAATATGTCTTTATTGATTTCAGAGAGAGGAAAGGAGAGGGAGAGAGAGAGACAGAAACATCAATGATGAGAGAGTCATTGATCGAGCCCACGACCTGGGCATGTGCCCTGACCGGGAATCGAACCCTGATTGCCTGGATCCTAGGTTGATGCTCAACCACTGAGCCACGCCCGGCCAGGCTGGTTCACTTATTTCTTAGAAAATTATGTACCCCCTAAAACTAATAATGATAAATACTAAATATATTACAGTATAGAAAAATGTTCATGGTAGAACACTAATTGAAAAAAATATGTTTAAACATATATTTTTACCACATAAAATTTATTATAAATGAACAAGATTGTGAGAGAGAGTGGAAAATGAAGGTAGCGTGGAGTGCCGCTGATGTCTCCAGGTTATCTATGCAGTAAACAAACACAAAGTTAAGAATTCACAGGGCCCAGGAAATATTCAGAATGTGTGCCCTCCCATCCTTCTGTACTTAATTATTTGCACTCAGAGGCAGTTCGCTTTGTAATGTCTTTTACAAGCTCGCTTTTCCCCACCTAAGACTGCAGGCCCCACATTCTTATGTCCACATTCTTATGGCTTTGGCCTCATGTAGGCAGCCTGGAAATTGCCTTGAGTCTGTTTTTCAGCTTTTATGTTATCTTGAGTTTTCTCCAAATTCATCATCGTACTTCCTGGATCTGCAGCCTCGGCCCACACCTGTCTCCGCCCAGTCTAGTGAGGACCCCAGGGGAGCAGGTAGTGTGGAGCAAGAAACCAGCAGCATGGACACACATTACCAGGGAACACACTAGACTCACTTGGCTTCACATCTGGAGGTGATCACTGTGTTTGATCTTGGAAGTGCTTCACCTGCTGGCTTTGATTAGTCTTGGTCTCCAGGAGATTGCTTTTGTGTCCCTACCTACAACCAAGGGGATGATAAAGGGTTGAGTCATTTCTGAGGAGGCAATTGAAGGAGAATATGGGTTTAGCTAATGGCTTCCTCCATTAGTGCTGGATGGAGAAACTGCCCAGGGTTTGGGCAATAGGCTCTCTTCAGGGCCCTACTAACTGCCCTGGGTCAGGTGAAGACTTTTGTGGACCCCAAGAATTCATATTACTGGAGGCCCCATCCTCACATCTTATTAAACATACTTAAATTCCCCCACATTCCATGTTAAATAATTTTTTCGCTGAAAATTGTTTTTAAAGGCTCTTTCTATGTGTGTTTCATAATTATTTGGATATGGTAAACTGCCCTAACTTATGACTGATCGCTTAGACCTCTGTCCATACTTGGGAATTTCAAAAAGGTGAAAAAATTTAACCTACAAATTGTTTACAAACGTAATGAATATTTTATGAATATTACATTTAACAATCAATGAAGTATGAATATGTCACTTAAATATTTATTCACTGCAATTTTGTGGTTTTCTTTTGGTATCTTGGAACCAATTATTTTTTTTAAGATTCTGAATATTTTTTTGGTTCTAACAGGTCTGTAGGCCCTATACACTGTGCCTTCAGTACCTCCTGGGTAAAATGCGACAGCCTCCCACAGCTCTTCCTGCTGTGGGGTTCCTGGCTTTCAGTTTTTCACAGACTTGTTTCTGCTTCAGATCTCCCGCCTGGGGGCATTGCTCACCATTCTGACCTCAGTCTAAATGTCACCCCATCCAAGATGATGTTCTTGATCACTGACTGGAAAGTAGTCATCCAGTACTACTTTACTTATCATCATAGCACTTATCACTAGCTGATACTATTCTCTTAATGACATCTAGAGTCTAATACAGTTATTCTAAATCTACTGATTTACTGATCTACCCGTCTATGAATCTATAGATCAGTTTATTGTCTGTCCACCCCCACTGGAATATAATACCAGAGGGTTTGTCAGTCTAGTCAAATCCCCCCATTATTTAACGTAGTACCAGGCACAGAATAAATGTGCAACAATATTTTGTGAAATTAATAAGATGACAGTTACGATTACCATACACATTTACTAGCTCATTTATTATCCCAGTATTGCTATGTTTTGAGAAAAGGAGGTAGGATGGTACAATAGGCAGAACAATGGCCCCCAACAATGTCCACAGCCTAACACTTGGAACCTGTGAATATGTTATGTTACATGGCAAAGGGGAACTTAGGTTGTAGGTGGAATTAAGGTTGCTCATCATCTGACCTTAAAATGAGATTATTCTGGATTATCCAGTCAAGCTTGATGTAATCACAATGGTCCTTTAAAGCAGAGGAGGGAGGCAGGAAGGGGGTCAGAAGGAGAAAACAGGAGAAGGACTCAGCGCACCCTTGGCAGCTCTGAAGATGGAAGAAGGGGGCTGAGAGCCAAGGGGTGTGGGCGGCTTCTAAAGCAAAGAAATGGATTCTTCTGAAAGCCTCCAAAAAGGCCTTTATTTTAGCCCAGTGAAGCCCATTTCATACTTCTTACCTCCAAACCAGTAAGATAATATGTTTGTACTGTTTAAGCCGCTAAGTTTGTGGCAATTTATTAGCAGCAATAGAAGACTAAAGAGAGGTGCTAATATCATTTTTACAAAGAAAGGCAAATGGCCCCTGCTTGAGAGGCCACTTATCCAAGGTAATAGAGGCATTTCTTGGGTCCAGTACCACTCAGCTATTTTGGCTCAAGGAGGGGGTTTGCAGGGTGTATAGAGAGAAGACTTGGTTCTCGTCTGCTTTGTACTTCCTGGAGAAGGGAAACAGAGATTTAACTCATATTTGCCTGAGGCATGTATTACCTAGGACTCTGACTCTTTAATGGGAGACACTTAGAAGCAACAAAGAACCCCCCCAATTATTGAAAACACATTGGATTTTCTTTATTAAACAGTTGTACTATTTTATTGTATTGATTGATTGCCATATGATGAACACCAGAAAGCATGCTGGATTCTAATGGGAATCCCTCTGTGCGCTCCCGACCTGTCTCTTGCAGCTCAGTATCAGTGTTTTGCAGATAGCAACCCAGAATGGCCATGCGTCCCTTGTCAGCTTTCTGCTCAGTGAGAACATTGATCGGCACCAGAATGTGGACGTCTCTTCCAGCAACTTGGACTTTGATCCTAGCGCTGTGGGGCTGGCTGTGCGGGGGAGATTCTCCTCGCTGATACACGGTGGGGACGGGAATTCACAAAGGAAGGATTCTTTCTGGGAAGGCCGACTGAGTTCTTTTGGAGACCGAGTCTTAATCTTGAGAAATAAAATCCGAGGGATGAATTTTAGAAAGTCATTGAAGTTCCTGAACAAAATGAAGTCTGTGTGTTTTCAATATTTATATTTGCTGTAATAAAACTTTCTCATGTGTCTAGCGATGCCATTATTCTTGTATTAAATTTATCGGTCTGGGAAAATGATGAAGCTGCTGTCAATAGGAAGGAAAAAGATAATTTTTTCTCCCTTCACTGAACAATCTTGTTTTTCTTTTGAAAGCCAATCCTTTATGCTGATTGAGGTTTTCTGAAGTTTGAACTGGCTTTGGTAAAACTTATGAAGGTTCTCTGTGCTGGAATTAGATGGGAAACATTCCTCTGTTTTTCTCTGTTTTCATTTCTCCTGTGAGAATATTATTTCCTCTGATGTTGCTTAGCCATTACTATTTATTGTATTAACTCGAGAGAAGGGAATGTGATTTGAACCATGACTGATAGTTTTTGGAGAACAGCGTTAAGGGAATTGGCTCTGAACTTGCCTGGTCCGTCCAAAGCTGCTTCCTGTTTCTCAGGAGGGGCTGGGCCCCAGCAAGGCTGGTGGTCCCAGCAGGAAGGACACTGCCCACTTCCTGGGAGGAGGGATGCTTTTCCTTTCTTATGTTTTTTCTTTTTTTTTTTTCATGCTCAGTGTGTCAAGACAGAAGGTTCTTTCTGAGCAGAAGGGACCTGCACAGGAAGCCCCCTCCAGCCCCATCTGTCTTCCACTTTCCTTGCTCACCCTCAGACAATCTGACTTACCTGCCTCTTCCTCTCCTCTCCCTCTGTGTGCTCACTATATCTCTCTTCCATCAGTCTACCCCCATTTCCTGGGAAGGAGCCTGGTGCGGTGATGGCATCAGGAAGATCTGGGTTCAGATCCCGACTCTGCCACTTCTTCACTCTGATGCCTCGTGGAAGTTAGTTAACCTCTCTGTGCCTCCTGTGTAACCCAGAGAATAGAAGACCTAACTGCCAGGGTTACTGTGAATGAAAAGTTGTATTTAAAACAGAGTACTATTGGGGAAGAGAGTGTATAGTAGGTACCATTATAAGGATACTTTGGATGCCCATAACTGTTGTTTATTAATATCTGTTCCACTTGAGCAGCACTGCCTGGGGCCTCATCGCCCACCCTCACACATCTGCCTCCCCTCTCTCCACTCACTCTGCTTGCAGCTCAGCAGCTGTTCCGCAGTCTCACTGGATCTTCTGCCCTTGTTCTTTCTCACCTGTACCCTCCTCTCCTCTCTTCTCCATTGGATCCCCCTCACCTCTCTCTCTCTCACAACTGTGTTCTTCCTACCTTTTCCCCTCAGGTGCCTTCTCTGCCATGGAAACATGTTTCCTCTAGTGCCTTCAGGGGCCCAGTAGCAGCTGGGTGAGAGTGAGGCAGCAGGAGGCCACGTGTGATCCTGGAGGTGGGCACTGCAGCCTGGAGGGCTGGGCAAGAAGCATGAAGTGGAGATGAGGGAGAGTGTGGGGGTATAGCTGGAAAACAGACAAGGAGAGAAAGGGAGCAGGCTGCAAGAGTTTGGAGACTACTGAACTCCAAATAGGTGAAAGGGCTGGGCACAAGAACGGTGCCAGTGGGTGAGTGGGGAGAGCTTGAGATCAGATCAATTCAGGACATGCTAAATGTGAATACCATTTCTTCCTGTGGCTCTTCCCACTGCACTGTAGCTCTTTGAAGGCTCTGAGAAGTCCTGCAGCTATGCCTATCTAATACTTTCTTATCCATCATATTTGAGTTCACATGCCAGTGCTTCAGGAAAGCCTTTTCTGATCTCTAGAGAAAGATCAGCCCTCTGCCCACCCCCCACATATTGCTCTCATTCTACTCTCTGCTTTTCCTCCAAAGCACTTATCATAATTTGTAATTGTATATTTCTTTTGTTACTAAAAAGCAGTTAATAGTTGCTTACCCCACCCACTAGATTGGAAGATTCCTGAGAATGGGCCATGCTCACCACTCAATCCCTAGCCTTGTGAAAGAGCCTGGCCCACAGTAGATGCTCAATGTATAGTTCTAGAATGAATGAAGGGGGAAAACTGACTGCTGGGGAGGTTTGCCACACAGCCTTGGGATGGAAATGACTGCTGAACACTCACTGTGTCAGTCACTGTGCTGGGACAAGTTCAGTACTCAGATTATCAAGAAGTGTCTGCTGAAATGAGTTGCTTTTTGATCTGAATGATGAAGCCAGAATGTCTTGGATTTGAAATTTTTGTTTCTTCCTGCAGCCTAAGGAGTCAGCTCTTCATTTAGCTGTTATCAACAACCACATCACCATGGTAAACAGCTTATTAAGTGCATAGCATGATACTGACATCTTAAATCAGGTATGTGAAGCAAGTCAGAATGTCTTGAAATGTCTGTTTCCTTCCATGTTTCAGCACGGTGTGTGTTTAGGGTAGTTTTGGTCAAGTTCAGGGTGCTCTAAAATTTCTGGGAGGAATGTGCACATTCCTTTTACCCTTTTTTTCTTTAACTTGCACACAAAGACTTTGTCTTTTTCAAATACGCAACTGGGGTTCAGCCAGTATGGTAGGCACTTCTGATAGATGGACAATAGCTCAGAGGTAAATTGCCAGAGGCTCTTTAAATCAAAAGCTGCTCCCCCAGTGTGAAATGTTGTAATTGGGGATGAGGGGGGGACTCACCATAAGAAGGAAACTTTGCTTCTGTATTACAGTAAATGTGTCTTCTTTTAGCCCAGAGACAAAATCTTGGCATTAAAGATTACCATGAATTCAATCCACTGGAGTAGAATCAAATGCCTCATAAGAGGAATCTATCTCTGGCTGGAAATGGAAATGTGGAGGTGGAAGAGTAAAGAGGGTGGGGATGGGTGCTGTTTGATCAGGGCCTGCTCTCGGGGTCAGATTCCCCTCTTCCAGGAGCTGTTAGGAGGGAATGGGAAGATAAACTGTCAGGAGAGGAGCCCTTCCAGAATCTTGAGGCCAGACCTCTGGGCGGCTCTTGCCCTTCTGGCTGCCTCTTCCCAGAGAAGCCTGAGCTGTGCCCTCAGGGTGGGGACCGGCCTGGCAAGGAGGGTGCACCATCCTAACCCACTGTGCAGCACTCAGTTTCTCACCTGTCAAACCAGAGCACCGACTCAGATCTTTGCAGTCTTCTCTGAGGTCATCTGTGCCCTGAGCTGAATGGAAACTTATTTTCTTTTCTGTGACTTCCTTCCGGAGGGGACTTCCTCCTCCCCCATTTTATACTATCCCAAAAGTTTGAGGGAAGAAAAACTCCTCTCGTTATTAAATATACTATGTGTTCAACTTGTGTTAATGCCCCTGGCCTTTCCTACCAGGTCCGCTTCAGAGAAGGGTGATATGTTAGGCTACCATCCAGTTATAGAACTAGACTTTATCATTTTAATTTTTTTGTTAGAGCAGTAATACACTCAATATATAAAAAATAAGAAAACATAAATAAACTAAAAACTTTGTAATCCCCCCAAAGAAAGAGAGCTCTTGTTAACATTTCACGTACTTACAGCAGCATTGTCACATGAGATTTTATTGGTATTTGACGTAATACACTTGTGTCTCTGTTCCACGTTGGTACAGACCTTGGGTAAGTTTGTCAGTGTAGGTGCAATGCCTGGGATGATAAGCCCCCTAAGGGGCACACTACCATCCAAAAGTGGGTCTTTAATAAGTGCCTTTTGATATTAATTATGCTAACGCCCTAAACAAATGGGCCCTGTGGTGTGGTAGGAAGAGTAGTAAGCTAGATGCTATTGCGCAGCTGTGTGACCCTGGGGAAGTTGTTTTCTCTCTTTGGTTTAAAGGTTGGGTTACATCATAACCTATGTTCTTCCTGTCCTAATATTTTAGAAATATTTCACATCAGCATTACTTTGGGTGGGAGGTTAAGATGGGTGATTTCTTGTGATTTCATATATTTCTTTCAAACACTTTCATTCTCTTGATAGGAAAATGATTATTGCAGAAAGAAATTAGAAGTCTTGTAGTCCTTTATACATTACAATGCAGGAAATTTACAAAATAGAGAAAAAAACATGGACAAGGCAATAAAAATAACCTCTAATTCCTCCATCTAGATATTGTCATTCTTAACATCATTGATGTATTTTCACATATATATGTATATATATATATACACACATATATAGTTATATATATAAATTCTTATATATCTATTGAGCTCGGCTAAATACAGTATTGTTTCCTTGTTTCCTAAGGCTTTTAATGTTAAATACATATTTTTTCATTTTAAAAAATAATCTTTGAAACCATTTTTTATTATGGCAAAATACACATAACATAAATTTACCTTTTTAACTATTTGTAAATGTACAGTTTAGTAGCATTAAGTATATTCATGTTGTGTGCAGCTATCACATCCATTCATCTTTCCCAAACTGAAACTCTATACCCATTAAATAATAACTCCCCAGCCCTCTTCCCCTCCACCCTGTCAACCACCACTCTACTTTCTTTTCTGTCTCTGTGAACCTGACTATTCTAGGTACCTCATACTGAAATCATTTTTTAAAAACTATTCTTAATAGTTGCCTACTATTGCCATGTGTGGGCATACCACAGTTCACCTAATGAGTCTCCTTGTTAAACATGTAACTTCCTATCAGTTTTTTGCTGTCATAAACAATACTGCCATTAATGTCCCCTATACCTACTTAAAAATATGTGATCTTACATATTTTTCCTAATCTTATATAGGACACCTTTATTTTCCTTTTGTTTTTTCACTACGCAAGTTTGTTTCCCTTCTTTATGTGCTTGGATTAAGTTTTTGAAATTTCTCATGGCAGAGGCAGCAAACTCCTTTGCACATAGCTGCTGATCTTGGAAATGTGGTACTGGTGGAAACACTGCTGAAGGCCGACTGTGATCTGAAGGTTGTTGATAAGGTAATTTCATGGATTTCACTCTGTTCAGCTGAGAGGTTGACTGTAAGCCTTGAGCAGCAGCATAGCCTCTGTGAAATGGACACAAACTGGAGAAACCTTGTATCTTGGTACTCAGTAAAACATCCCAATTTTGATTAAGATAGGTCAGTAATAATTTTCACTCTGAACAATAAAATGTAGTTTTAAAATTCAAATTATTTATTAATTTTTTGAAGGTTATAGATTCACATGGTCCAAAAATTTAAAAAAATATAGCCGGCCGGTGTGGCTCAGTGGTTGAGTGTCAGCCCATGAACCAGGAGGTCACAGTTTGATTCCCAGTCAGGGCACATGCCCAGGTTGCGGGCTCGATCCCCAATAGAGGGCGTGCAGGAGGCAGCCGATCAATGACTCTCATAGATGTTTCTATCTCTCTCCCCCTTTCCCTTCCCCTCTCTGAAATCAACAAAAATATTTTTTAAATATATATATAAATAAAATTAGTAAAAGTTTGACAATAAAATTTTCCCACCTATCCTGGCCCTGTTTGTCTAGTTCCCATATTACCCTTGACCATGTATCCATTATTGTACATTTCTCTATTCTTTCTAGAGTTTATTCCTGGAGAAGCAAACATATTATACTCCTCTTTTATTCCTCTGTCCCTTTTACACAGTGGTGATGTGCCTCTACCTACTATTTTGCATCTAGCTCTTTTGCTTTAACAATATAAAGTGGAGATGGTCCCATATTAGTACGTGGAGAGTTTCTTTATTCTTTTTTACACAGCTGCATAATAGACTTTGGTAGGGACAGACTGTAATTTATCTAATCCTCAACGGATGAGCATTTAAGTTGTTCCTAAGCTTTTACTGTTATAACAGAGCTGCAGTGAATAAATGTACACATGCATGTCTAAACTTTTTCTTTATTCATAAAAGTTTTTAAATTATTAAATACACGTAACATAAAATTGACCATCCTAACCATTTTTAAGTGTGCAGTTGTTTAGTAGTGTTAAGCACATTCACACTGTTACGCAACCAATCTCTAGAACTTTTTCATCTTGCAAAGCAAACTCTGTGAACAACAACTGCCCATTTCCTCTTCCACCCCCCTGCCCCGCCCAGGCCTGGCAACCACCATTCTACTTTCTCTCTGTGAATTTGACTGCTAGGTGCCTCATATAAGTGGAATCATACAGTATTTGCCTCTTTGTGACTGGTGTATTTCATTTAGCATAATGTTCCCAAGGTCCATCTATGTTGTAGCATGTGTCAGAATTTCCTTCCTTTTTAAGGCTGAATGATATTTATTGTATGTATGTACCACACTTTGTTTTTTTATCTGTGAATGAACATTTGTGTTGCTTCCACCTTTTGGCTATTATGTTTGATGTTGTATTGCAGGCTCAGCCATTGAGGGTAGCGGGACGACTGTTGGTGGGTTCCAGCTTTGCTGAAAGGTGTAAATGCAGGAGACTGCTGTGTGGCAGCCCTGTTAGGTGCTCACATGCACACCATCGTTCCTCAATCCTTACATCGCCTCTGTGAGGTGGACAAGGTAATCCCAGTTTTCAAGACAAGATTTGAGAAATGTTAATGACAGCAGGGGCACACACATAGTAAGAGCCTGGTTTCAAAGCCACAACTACTGGCTGCTTGGTCATCCAGTGCTGTCCTACCTACAGCTGTTGGCAAGTTGGCTGCTTCCAGAACTTGCAGTTTTCCCCATCCTTGTCTTCACCCATATTGTTCACCAGCTCAGCACATCCCTAATTCCCAGTGCAAGCCTGAATCCATCCTACTATACTTCAGAATCATATATTTTACATTTTTAGGGTCTGAAGTAGTAATATGCTATTTTGCTTTTCTCTGTAATGTCAGTTTTTTATTTTTTAAAAATTTTTGAAGGGTTACCATTTATTTTTTCTTTTTAATATGTCTTTATTGATTTCAGAAAGAGGAAGGGAGAGGGAGAGATAGAAACATCAATGATGAGAGAGTCATTGGTCGGCTGCCTCCTGCACCCCCCTACTGGGTATTGAGTCCGCAGCAACTCGGGGATGTGCCCTGACTGGGAATCAAACTGCGATCCCCTGGATCATACATCAGTGCTCAACCACTTAGCCATGACAGCTGGGCAAGTAATCTCAGTTTTTAAAATTACCTTTTTTTTTTTTCTGATCATAAAGGTAATGGAAGCCGTCTGCAGACAATCTGGAAAACATAGAAAAGCATAAGGAAAATACAACCATCCATGATTCCATCACTTAAGTGGGATCCCACAAGTTGTAGCTCATTAGTTTCTGATAACATTTAATCTTTTTGTACTTTATTCTTCTTTTTCATTAATACATAATGCATCCAGGCAGTCTTGTGGGTGGGGGATTTATATAGCATTGGTAGGACTTCATGTTGGGTCCCCTGGTGCTAGTGGACTGGCTCTTCCAGTAAACACCATTAATGCTATAACTTGACTTTGTTTTCAGAACAAAACCTTGTTTACCAGACTTCACAATTTGATTTTCCCAGATTTTTCTTCTCTTCCTCCCTCTTTCTTGTCAGGGTCTGGATATAGTTGGCACCAAGTACATATTTAATTAATAAATAAAAGCTGCTTTTTCTATCTGCTCCCACCAAAGATAAGTGACTGTTTTTAAGACTGAATTAAGATCTGGGTGGAAAAAAGGAACCAAGATTTGGTGTACATTTGACTTTTCCAGAAACCTATTTTCTTGGACTGAGACATCACAAGAGTCCTCGAGGGCCTTCCGCACTTAATGGCGTAAGTGTTTGGATTTCCACTCCAGCACACACTCCTGGGAAAGGTTTCCTATGAGCTTGAAAACTGTCTCTCCGAATGCTGCCTTCCCAAATAGGCTAATTATAGTGATGCAGATGGCTTTACAAGCCAGATTTTAGACAGTGTACAATTAGAGGCTTTCTAAATGCCTGCAAAATGCAGTTCTTCCTAATTTTATTACTGTTTCTTTTGATTAGAAGCTGATTACTTTCAGCTCTAATTTTCAGGCTCACCTGCATCTTAGCACCTAGACTAACAGCCAGATCATTTGGGTTGGTGGGAGTTGCAAATAGTCAGATGTGAGAGAATTATTGGGATACATTTTTGGAACCCTCAGCATAGAATTGTGGGTTCCTTAGATTGGAACTTGTTCTGGGGTTATGTCTGACCATTCATTTTAATTTTCATCAGGATTCTTGAGCAAATTTTTCATGGATTGTTGGTAAAGCAAATGAAAACAACCACATTTTGCTCAGGAAAAAATGTATAGATGTCTAGATTGTGTACTGCATAAAATCTAGGGGGAAATATCTAGGGGACACTGCTTGCAAAGCTGTATGCCCTGGCTTTGAGCCATATCCATCTTGACAAAGTTGCACACTTCTGTAATTTGTATAAGGTACCATATGGGCTCCAGGCCACTTGTACCCCAAATTATGTCTAGAACAGCCCTTATTGATCATTTTATTTGGTTAAGATCCCAACCCTCACCCTTGGTTAGAGGCAGTATGATATAATAGAAAAGAGTTCTAGTTAAGAGTCCAGCAAACTGAATTCTGTACTATGAATTAGTTGTGTTGTCATGATTGATATTATTTTTAATAAAGTCCAGCTCTTGCCTGTCTTATTACTCCACCCTCCTCAACACATGGCTTCTACTTCCTGGGCCGAGGTGGCTATTTAAGCTCCTGCCGTCACGCCAGCATTCCACTCAGGAGGGGAAATGAAGGAGAATGACATCCCTCCTCTCTTTAAAGATACTTCCCAGAAGGTGCATATGCCACTTCCATTCATATACCACTGGCCAGAACTTAGGTCACATACCTAAGTACAAGGGAGATGTTTGGAGTGGCCAAGTGCCCGGCTAAAACTAAGAAGTCTCTTCCTACAGAAGAAAGGGAGACAAGGCTACTGAGGGTTAGGGGCATGGCCGCTTGCTAAAGACTGCCTGCCACAGGTGGAGTTGGCCTTTGGAGGAGAAAATGTACAATCATGTTATTTACTTGCTGAGGACGTCCCAGTGCAGGGAGCCAGGGAGACCCCTGGGGTTACTGGAGAAACGTTTGGGCTCTCATTGATAGTGCAATGAGAGCCCAAACATTACTTGTTGATGGTGAGTCCCTAAGCCCAAACTCTTTCCCTTGCTCAGTTGACACAGCAGTAGATACCATCAATATTTAGCATTTTGGACAATTTGCATGTGTCATGTACTGCCCTAAGGGCATCACATGCATTATCATATATACCTCTCACCACTACATCATAGGGTAGTTATTGAGATGGAGAGAAGCTAAGGATTGGCCAAAGTTCACCTTGCATGGAAGAAGTAGGGTCAGGATTTGGACTCAGGCTCCCTTGTTCCAAAACTAGAGCTCCTAACAACTAGGCAATACTACCTGACACTTTCATTTTTAACTTTTAGCAAGGGAAGACCACCTTGGCCTTGGCCTCCAGGAGCAACCACAGCCTTGTTGTGGATATGCTCATAAAAGCAGAGAGATGCTATGCCTGGAGAGAGGCAAGGAAGGAAGATTAAAGATGCATTTGCTGTTGTGACATTTCCTTAGCCAAGGTGTCACTTCTGTTTTCTTTGGGGGTAGGTATATAGCAGCAGGTTGCAACAGAAGCAAGGGACACAACACTGGCACATCCCTTACATTTCCTGTGTCAGACAGACAATATTCAAGCTTTTTTATTTCAGACAGTTGTCTCCATCTTGAATGACAAAAATGACCCAATGACAGCATTGAAAACGTAGTCTTGGTTACCACCTTACCAGTTATACCTGAAAATATATATTCTGAAATAAGGCAATAAGCAGAAAATGTCTGAAATCATCTGATACAGTTACTTCCCATTTAGAAGCACGGTGAGAGCATCAGGGACCCATCAACCAACTTTCCTCTTACATTCAAGCAAGATCACAGCCGGGACACCAGGCATATCCACAGTCTCCTCTGGAACCTGGCTTATCATCAGCTGAAGGCCAACGAGTGGCAGAAGCTGGCCCGTTCATGGAACTTTACAGATGACCAGATCAGGGCCATTGAGGAGCAGTGGTCAGGTGAGCATGGCCCAGATGATGTGGGCAGGGGGCATTCAGTGTCAGGAACAGCAGTCCTTCCCAGTGGCAGATCTTCCAAGTAAGTGCCTGGGATACAGACTCAGGGCTGTCCCGGAGGATTCCAAGCCATGGAATCATTTAGCCAGACTCCAGCTGTCAGAATTAGTGAGGTCATGTCAGCTGGAGTCCTTAGCTTTGCTTTTTAATGATTTGGCCCAAACCTAGGAAATATAGAAAGTTTGTTTGGCCTTAATTAACTTTATAAACAAGAAGCAAACACTTTTCTTGGCAAAACTTTCTACTTATAGCACTTTCCATACATGGATATCATGAGATATGAACGAGCCCCATAGTAGGGTTGACTGGCATTGCTGATTGCTGGAGATTGTAGATGCAGAAGCACAGCCACAAGCACATGCTACTTCTACCACAAATTATGGTGCTTTTTATCGCTAATTCTAAGGACACATTTTCTTGTGGGAAAAAAGGAAAGATGTTAAATATTTACTGTAGTTTCTGAAAACAATTTTATGTTATTTCTCCTTTGTCACTAATTAGACATATGTGTTCTATAAAATCTTTAAGAAGGTTGTCTTCTGGAAATTTCTCTGGACCTAAAGAAATGATTTGGAAATATAGTGTGCCCTCAGAGTAAGGGGGCACACTTGCCATCAGGGTAAGGGGGATTTAAAACATTTCAGGCCAACATTGCAGAGTGCCTAGAGTGTGTTTAGCTCTGCCAGGTGAGGGTGAATCAGCTTGGTAAGTGATGGTGCATGTTTGATGGAGTTTATACCCTAGTTGGCAGGGTAACAGTTGCATTCACAATCCACTTATATTGTGACCCAGGTAACAGCACCAGGGAATTGGTGGACTTTTGAGCAAAGGAGTGACATATTAGTGATGATATTTAAGAAAAACTAGTTTAGCAAGGGCAAAATTAGGAGGACTCACCTAGGAGTACATTCTTTATGCATGCAGTTTGCTCTCCCTGAAATGCCTGCTCCTCCAACACTCTGTCCAGTGAATTGCTCCCTGGAGCTCAGTCCCTCTTCTTGGTGGCATCTGTCTGCCCCTGGGCACACGCTCAATAGAGCACCTGCTGGGAGTGCCAGTGGCTTCTTACCTTCACATCCCAGCACTTCCCCCAACATTTCTCAGGGGTTAGGTATCCAGTATTTATCCTGTATTCACTGGCCCGGATTGGGGCAGGGGATGCAGACTTCCATCAGAAACTGGAGTGGCAGGATGCTGCATGCTTGCTGCTCAGGTAATGGACAGCAGCAGCAGCAGCAGCACCACCACCTGAGGACTTATTAAACATGCATATCCTCACCCCTGACAGACTGAATCAGAATCTGCATTTTAACAAGATCCCCAAGTGAAATATGCACTTTGAGTTTGAAAAGCTCCACATCTCATTAAGATTGTCCCTTACTGCAGGGCAGGGATGCCTCTGTAAAATCTTTAGTTGCTCCTCTGGGCCATGTCAAGCGCAGTAGGTGCATGGGAAGTGCTGGAGTGAATCTAAATGCCAATCATTCTAAAGAAGCATCAGTGAGGGCAACTGGAAGGGCTTTCATCCCCTAGGCCTTTGATCTAAGAGTCGTTAGAAGAGGAGTGAGTGGGGAACCACAGCCAAGAGAAAATTCAGTTAGAATTGAGATACAGTAATAAAGAGAGCATCAGCAGGTGGTTTCCTGCCTCTGACCTGTGTGTGGCACAGGAAGGGACAACTCCCGTGAACATGGCTACAGGGATCTGCTCATCTGGCCGCATGGGACCCTGATGATGCAGGACACACCGGTCAAGCACCTGTACGAAGGGTTGGTTTGCGCAGGGTTCCCGGACTAGCTGGTGAGTGAGAGTTTTCAATAAACAGACACTCTTCGTCCCTTAGACAGAAATACTGCTACCCTGAACAGCAGTGGTCCCAGCTTGGTGTTCACTGTGGCTCGGTTAGAATATACAGCTGCTTTGGTGAGTGACTCAATCAGTAGTTGTTCTTTTTTAGCCCTGTGGTTGTATCAACCTCATTGTCAACTGGACATTTGAAGAAGTATAGGAGTATTTTGTTTATGTGTCTGTGTGGGTAGGGGTGGGAAAGTGGGGAACGTGACGGGGGCAGGAACACTGAACAGTGTCATAAGGTTATAGGACAGTTCTCCACAACTAAAAATTATCTTCTTGCTCCAAATGCTGTTTGGCCCATGTTGGGAAAGTGCAAGTTAGTGTATTTGAAAATGTTATCTCTAGGTTGAAAGAAAAGAGCAGAAAGGCTATATTACGTTGCCAGCTCAGGTTACTGCTAAAAATAATCTGCCAAAGATTATATTGTCAGGGAAGATGCTTTGAAAACTTTATAACTTGTATGTAATAACCATTCACACAAAATATAGCACCATCAACCATTATTTTCATGATGCAGCTTTACATGTCAGTGTAACTGGAACATAGTAAGTGCTTAATAAATGTTAGCCATTAATAATAAATGTTAGGCTATTTTTTTCCCAGAAAAGATCCAGCAATTCAAAAGTGAAACTGACTCAAAGCCCAAGAAATGTGAAGTTTCATAAATGCCTAGACAAACTGTATTTAAATGATTTTCCACTTAGCCTCCAGTCCTTTTAAGTTCAGTTTTTTAATGCCATAAAATTCCTCTAGCAGATTGATTTTCTTTTCAACTGTGATGATGGTAATAGAATCCTCCAACAGATGAAAAAATGGTATTATACTTTCCAATGACCGAAATGAAAAGTCAAAAAAATTTTTGGTTTTTGCTTAAGGCAAGTTGTATATGATTTTCCCATTTCTGTCATTTGATGCAACATATGTGATAGCATAATCTAGGATTTTCAACCTCATGTCTTGAAAAAAACGTGGGAGCAGTATCATGGCATATGGGAAACTGGGGGGTTTTAAGATAGACCTGGTTTTGAGTCATGACTTTGCCACTTTTTAGTTATGAAACTTGGGGCATTCTAATATTCAAATTCTCGTATCTTCAATTGCCATAGCATTTTGGTGAGGGTGAAGGGAGAATGCCTGTAACCTCATGCCCATAATATTGAAATCATTAACTGTTATTTCTCTTGTAAGAGAAACTGGTTTTGGAAATTTCTAGTCGCTGTTGGCTTTAAATAACACATATGTGTAATATATTACTTAGAGAAGGCCAGAAGTATATATACGAATATTTTCTCTCTCTTGATGATCTAATTATAGGTGATTTTATTTTCTTTGTACTTTTTTGGTACTTGCAAACATGTTTTATTTCTGTAATCTGAGAAAGTTACTAAATGTGAAATCAAGTTCCAATTTATGTCAGCTTATATGCACCTATTCATTATAATTTAAGGCTCTCCATCCTCAAATTCTGACTCTAGGTCTATAAGTCCAGAAATAATATCATGAGCAATTTCAGTCTAATTATTCTATCATGAATTTATAGTTCTACATTTTTGACCCACTTAACATTATGAATGTTTAAAACAGGTAATATGTTCACATGATTCCCAAGTTTTTAACAAAGGTATTCAGTGAAAAGTCTTGTCTCCATCTGTTCTTCAGTCTGGCTAGTTTCCACTGACCTTGCTACTCCTCTTCCCCCCAAAATCTGGTTAACTCTTTACATAAAAATAAATGAATACATACTTTTACTGTAAAAAGTGTTTTGTTTAAGTTAACTTAGGCTAACACTAATTATTTGATGCTTTATACAATATATAGTTTCCAGAACTTAGAGTTTAAAAAGATTTATAATATTCTTAATTACAGTGTTCATAATATTGACTTGTCCACATGGTTATGGCCTGCACACTGAAAACTGTTCCTAATTGTAATCTAGGTTCTTAAAAAAGCAGAGCATGAAGCCAAAGTTTATGTGCCACTGCTTTTTTCAGGAGTGCAAATCCAGGGAAGCAGGAGTGAAGGAAAAGGGGTGATATGGAGAAGGAGGGAGAGCCAAGACCAGGGTGAATTACTAAATTGTCCACCACTTGGTGTCAAGCACAAACTGACTTGACCTCGAGGGTACTCTCTTCCGAGACAAGAGACAGGATGGCTGTGCATACAGGGGAGAAAGGAAGAATCAATCTGTTGACCAAAATGGGGTGTTAATTCTGGGCTGTAGGCGTGGACTGCAAGTGGAGCCTGTATCTCTCATGACTGGAGTGGGCGTGGAGGCAGCCCTGGGGAGAGGAGTATGCCCTCTGCATAGGCAGCAGAGGAGGTGCCGGTGGTCTGTGCTTGTAACCCATGAACTGTCTGCACCATGGTAGCTGGGCCAGGACCCAGAACAAGTGCTGCATAACAACAACCTATACTCCTGAAGACATGGCAGATACTTCTAATAATTCAGAAAAGCCTGGTTTGCCCCTTTAGAAAATGGGATTTCTCACATTTATTCTCTGACGTCCTGTTAAAAATGTAAGGCCATAAGAAACTGTTTCCTGTAATACAATTAGAGCATAGAGCTAGGTCATCCTCAAAACAGAAGAGGCTTCAGACGATTAAATCTGTCCACTTCTGTTAAAGATATGGAAACTGAGGCCCTAGACAGATTCTTCAGAATCTACTCGTTTCTATGTAACCCTTAAGTACTTCAGCCCATGCAGCCAGCAATAAAACCATTAGAAGCCTGGTCCTGTTCTGCTTAACCAGTTTTGCCCAAATGGTTTCTTCCTATTGGTCAGCCACCGGAAAGTCTCTACGTAGGTTTGGAAGATTTGCGGAGTCGCCCAGGGCACATCACAACCGGATACTGTTTGCATGTTCAGAAAAAGCAACGTGGACTCAAAACTGTAGTTTCCAACGAGACAAGGAAGAACAGCAGAAACAGGTCATTCCAACAGATTTTCTTCTGAGGTTTCTCTGTGTTTTTGTGCTGGTAAAAAAATTTTTCCCCTTTTAACATTAAAAATTATTCATAGGTGTTGCCATTTCCCCCTATTTTTAATTGCTAGAGTACTAGAAAATGAAGATAAATACACTAGTCAAAAAACTTTGTGATAAAAATATTACTCTTGGTCTTTATTTTTTCACTTAAAAATTAAAATAACTTAGTTTCATTTAGTTTTAATAATTTTTAAAATAAACTTCTCTTAAAGTTTACTTAGTATCTTAGCCTTTTGGAATAATGTAGAGAAAACAGGATTTATATACTTTGATGATACAGTCAGCCACAGGCTGAACCTATTAAGAAAATATAGTCCAGTTTCTTTTTTTAATTAAAAAAATTTTTACTTAATTGCTTAAATTAAAAAAATAACATTAATATAATCCTACATATAGTTACAAAGGATGGTGTGGCTTGAAAAAGTCTTGTAATTTTGAAAAGATGAACATGATGTATCCATGATGTTCTAAAAATACGGAAACATTTGAAACTAAAGACTTCTAATCCTTGTTAAACCAGAGTACTTAAAATATCTTAATATGAACATATTTGTTTTAGTCAACCACTTTGATGGAATGAATGCTTGCAAGAGACTGGGTGTGAGTTGATCTGGTTCCGAGAGATCTGGAAGCCGAGGTAGTACTTTCAGGATGAATAGTCCGGGGGTATTTTGCTGCAGCAGCTTGAGGAATGGTTTGCTAAAAAGATAAAAATCAGTTTTAATAATCCCATGAAATTAAACATATTAAATACCATTTTATCATTTATAATTTAACCCAACATTTGTTAAGCATCAATGGATACAAGCAATGAATTGGATGAAATAGTCATTACAACAAACAAGATGTGGACTTTTTCCATAAGGAACCGACAGCTAGTTAGACTGATGTGCTCAGTACCCACAGTTTACATCAGAGCTGTATTCCAGGGGGCACAGAAAGAGCCATGGGAGCCATTCATTCCTCAAGGACTCAACTGGATGGAATCTTGTAATGTTTATAGAGGCTAAGTATAGAAATGGACTTTGTGGTGTCCGTGCCAAGGCCTCCCCTCTGCTAATTCTGTTCACCTTCTCCTCCCTGTATTTGGTTGCTAAAATGTGGAGTACAGTCCCGCGGAGCATGCAGGCAGCCCTGAGGAATCCAGTCTGGTCTCTGCTTCAAACCAGCATAAAGCAGGTCCCTCATATTTCACCTGGTTCACCTGGGAGCTGACTAAACCTTTTATGGTCACACACGAGGCGGACTTCTCAGAGACCTGGTGCTCCCTTAATATGGATCACAGCTTTCTAAATGAATAATTAGAAGCCGAGGACACACATTGAGGGGAGGGTATGCACACTATCTCCAAGCTCAGAGGAACATCTTAGACATGAGCACTGAGACATTAAGATCAGGGCACATCTGCCTTCATCTATACATGCAGCATGTTCAATTTATGCACACAAGTGCACGTTACATGTATACACGTGTAGTATGTACATGTGTAAGGCTTTCCTGTGTTACACCAAATACCACTTCTTAGTAGCAGCAGCGGGATTTGTTACGCAGATGAGTTCTCAGTCCATGCCACTGACTAGCACATGCAGCTTCTGATTAGGGTCTTCCACTTAGAAAAGTCATTTCTAAAATTCTTGAAGTAAAATTATACATGTTTGATCAAAACATTCACTATGTATTTCAAAAGCTCTATGATACAGCTACGCAGGTCTTCAATTCAGATTCTGCTTTAAGGATAAGAGCTCCTCTTAAAATAAGGGAAAAATAGCCTCCAAGTATTTTATATAAATGTCTCTGTATATAAGTTAACTGGGTAATCATTACAAATGAGAGATATCTTTGCCACTAGTATGAAATTTTAGTTGCTAACCACCTAACCCCACTTCGTCGAAAGAGCTTTCTTCCCCTGGGGAAGATGGGCAGGGGGGAGTGTAGAAATATTCCCATTACCATGGGTATCGTGATCCACAACACCCAGCGAGAATGAAGTAGCACCAGGAGCAAGCAGTTATCCACCAGATGGGGAGAAAGTGTCAGAGGGCTAATTACTGGTTTGCTAGTAATACCTGTTTCTGGTAGTTCTGGATCTTGATTCCTGGGAAAATGGAAAACTGTATAGAGGACCACCATCGTGTCTGTCACATAGTCCAAAATGGGTAGTAATGGGAGTGATTTATGGCTTTCTAATTCATGGCAGTTATGGAGAAGTACTGCACGTGCTGAGTTAAGCAAAGGGCAGTTTGGAAGATAAATATCAGAAATGGGTTATAAGACTTTAGTTACTTATTTTTCTTCTGTAAAATATAAATTTCTGTTGTTAATCCAAAGACAAAGATTGTCTAAATTAAAAATAAACACATGTGCGTTCTCTTGAAAGCCTTCTTTATCTTAGTGGACATTTTTATATACATCATAAGTGCTGATAAAAATAGAAATGAGTTCATTTCTTCTCATCTTTGATTATCTCAAGTATTAAGAAAATAGAGAGAAGCCATCTAAGGACTTCCAGAGTGTGCCAGTGTATGAAGGCTACGGTAATCCTCCACCCTCCATGCCCTCTATCTGGACCTGGTGCCTCTATCAGTCTTCCACTTCACTGTGCTCACATTTTCCCTGAGGCTGAATTTAAATAATCATTCACACTTCTCTCAATTTAACTTAGTAACCAGAAAAAAAGGATTTAAAATGATTCCACATATCTTTTTTGCCAATACTTTGCATACTATATAGAGGAATGTTGTCTAATATTGAGAATTTAAATAAAGAGCATTCTCTTTAAAAATCAATCCTGTTTCTCTTTAGAGATATGTTCTTGTAACTTTTAAAAATTAAACTTTTTGAGATAATTGTTGATTACATACGGTCAAAAGAACTAATACAGAGGTATCCCTGTATCCTTCTCTAGGAATTTCTATTAAATTAAATTTGCTTATGGTTTTACAAAGTGCCTTTCTACCACTCATTAAATTTTTACATTCTCTCACGTAACCCTGAATTCTGACAAAAAGGAGCTAAGCACTCTTATCACTCCCATTTAACACAAGAGAAAGGGGGGGGCTCAAATATTTTCCTTGTTTTGTATATGATCAGAAAGGCAGGAAGGAGCGCATAATTGGGACACTAACTTAAGGTGTTTTGTTTGTTTTTGCTTAAATTCCATGTACTTTCCTTTATATCACATGAATTTACTGCAGTGTGAATTTTTTTCCTAACTAGAAACATGCTGACAATTGTATTGAAAAGGAGAAGAAGAATATAAAATAAGGAGCAAAAACTAAAAGCTATAAAAGTAGGCAAGTGTTTCTTGTAATAAAAAACCTACATAAACAGCTAGTTAATTAATGAGAAATCATTTATATATTTTGCCTTTCTGGCCACTGGACACGCTGGATTACTTTTAGTATTTGATAATTTTTTAGGAAAAATGTATTTCTTTTGCTCTTTTTCTTTGAAATAACACACACAGGCAGGGAGGTGGGGCATGGTATAGGTGGGGAGAGGTGGAGGCCTTGGAGAGGTCCTCTACCCGCCCCCCAGTTCCCAGTTCCTCTTCAGGAGTCCTTTAACGGAGTTCTCCAAAGAATTATATTTGATAATTTTTACACTGTTGAGAAGAATGTTTCTGAAATTAATTTCCTAAAAGAGGAAAGGCAGATTCAGAGCAGGTGTGATAATTATTAAGCACAGAAAGACATTAACAGTAAAAGGCAGAATAAGAACCAGTCATCATGAATGTTGATCTTCTCTTCAACATGTCAGTTATGTGCTTATTAGTCTGCAAATCTCAGGAAAAGATTTTGACAAAAGGTCATCAAATGTGGACTCACCACTGTGATTGGATGATGTTTTTCCACAACAACTGAGCTCACAGGAGGAGAAACTCCCATTATAGCTAAACTGCTACTAATTCTGTTTTTTGAAGCAAAATCACTTCTCCCTGTGATCCGGGCTGTAATGGTTCTTCCAGCTTTCTGTTGTGCAGATGTCACAACTCTGGGTACATACTAAAAAAGCAAAGAAATATCCAGTTGATAGAAAATCTATGGCAAAATTTATAGTATTTCTGGTTCTGTAACTTATGAAGAAAATACATAGGCACTTAAAGGAACTGTATATTCAACCAACTTTAACATGGAAAAAACAAAAACTTAAACAATGAGACAAAAATCACCACATAAAACCGAGTACCACAGAGCATCCCTTTAACTTTGGTATACCAACTATTGTACAGAACTTAACCAACTTTTAAAAAACATTTAGAAATAATTATAGGTTTATAGGCAGTTGCAAAGACAGTGAGAGATCCTGAGTATTCTTCACCCAGTTCGTGGAAATGATTACATTTTACATAATTATAGAATAATTATGATATCAAAACCAGGAAGCTGACATTGGTATAATGCCTGGGTATAGATCTGTATCATTTTACTACATGTATGTGTGGATTCCTGTAGCTATCATGGCAACCAAGATGCGTAACTACTTCATCACCATAAAGCTCTCCCTCGTGCTACCCTTCAGTCATACCCATCTCCCTTCCCCTACCATTCCTAACCCCTGGCAGCCACTCATTTGTCTTATGACCTCTTCTGATCCTTATGCATAATGTCATTATTACAAATACACTTTTGTGTTCTGCCTTTTTTCTTATGACTTTAATACACTTTTCCCTCATGAACAGAGAATTGCAATTTTGAGAGATTTTAATACCAACAAACTACAGTTTATCTAATTATCTCAGTTCTTTTCCTAATATATATAGCAAACTTTTGTAAAAAAGGATTCCTTTTGAGAGTTATTTCTGTAGAATATATTGCAAAAAATGCGATGATCAGATCAAAAAGTAATGGTAGCTTTTATAGGTTTTGTTGCNCAAAAAATGCGATGATCAGATCAAAAAGTAATGGTAGCTTTTATAGGTTTTACTGCTGGACAACACTCCATAAAAAAATTGTATGTACATGAGGAGTAATAACTATGTGTACCCATTTTCCCCACTGTCAACTAATTACATTAACTGGGCAAAACCAAAAGGAGTAAGAAAAGAAAGGAAATTGACATTCTACTTCTGTTAACTGTGTCCACAGCCAAGTCATTCTCTCTCAGCCTCCACTTCCTTGGTTATAAAATGGGAAAGCAGCACCAAATGCCTAATGATACCCTTTCATTTTCATTCAGACGAAAGGAAAGTTAGAAGACAAACTTTACTAAATTGCTTCAAAAATCCAACTAAAATCCCTCAATTATTCCAAATGGAGTTAGAAAAAGTAAAGTGCCATCTATTGTTCAACCTCATGAACTGCAATATATTTGCTTGTAAAACTGCCTAATTTATTTTTTGAAAAATGTTTCCCACCATGAAATTCTGATATTTAACATATTGAGGATGTGTGCAGAAAGAATTTTACAAATGAGGATATTATTTCACTAGAATGGCAATCCTCCTTTCTCCAGTTACCTGTTTCCCAAATCTTTGCAGTTTACTTTCTGAACACACCTCCCTTTAGCTACTGGAAATACTGAGGAAGACTGGAAAGTTTTGAATGTTCACAGGAAGCTTCTGAAATTAAAATGGAAAGATAACCAGGCCTGGATCACAAGTCTCTCTTCTTTTCCTGTTCCTGACAATGATGGTTTCACATTAAGGTAAGTTATCTAATATACAGAGTGGGGCCAAAGTAGGTTTCCAGTTTTGAGTATGTGAAAAACAGAGTTTATTCTTATATTATTATTTCTTAATTATTGTATTATTTTCCATATGAACAACTGTAAATCCTACTTTTGTTATTCTGTTTCTTTTTAAACAAGAAGGCATATTGAGGTGAATCTGAGTATTATAATTGTATGAGGAAGGAGAAAACTAGCATTACATGTAGGTGGATTTATTTTTAATTCTCCTCTCTCCCTGGCCCTAAAGGCTATACTTCTGTGAATGAAATCAATGTGTATCTGTTTCTGAAGGAGCAGAAGGTAGTAGGAGGGGTGGCAAAGAAGGGCTGTCTACATAATACTGTGTTTTTCAAATTTCAAAGACTTCCAAATTATCTCAGGTAATCAAATTTTAAAAAGTTAGTAACAAGAAGGTAAGCACACTCACTCATTCAGTTCTTTCCATGTATTTTCAGATTTATATATAAATGTAGATTATAAGTGGTGTAGTCATATTTTAAGAAGGGAATTTTGAAAAATCTAGGTCTTGTATTATCTGAATATGCAACATGAATGAGAAACCAGAAATTTAAATAAACACTGTATTTATTTAAATGAGATCATCTCTTCAAAATGTGTAATCATGAAAAATAAACACAGCTGAACATATTTATATTTAGGGTTGAATCTTAGTGTCTTATTTCTAAGAGCTCCCTCACACATTCAAATTTCTCTGAACAGCCATATTTTTAAAAATTTCTTTGAATCAAGAGAAAACATGAGAAATAACAGATGTCAACATATTTCCCCCTCAAGTTAGTAGTTCCTAACAGGAAGAAGTTCAAGTCAGCTGGAGTACTAATGATAACCAATTGTCTGGTTGACCCTGAGCAAGGGCACCTTCTGATGGCCTGCCAGGGGGGCTGTCAGACCTAAAACCTATTCTGCCATCATCCTTCCTCTCAGGTAAGTGGTTAGGGTGGGGAAGAGGGAGACAAGCAAGTCAAAACCCCATCTCAGGACCTTCATAGAACCATACCTTTGTGCCAAACTAGAGGAGGGCATAGTGTAAAAAAACAAAAGGCCCTGCAGAGGTGAGTCTGATAAGCCTGACTTGTATCCCTACACCCTTCTCTCTTGAGACACACTGAAGAATACAGGTTTAACACCAGGAGGCTGAGAAGTCAGAACCATGATGTGCTGTGTCTGTAATTCTCACCATATTAATAGTATGATCAATTTTACTTCAGGCCGGTTCTCACACAATTACTCCACCCCCAGACAATGCTCTTCCCCTCTAAGCACTTCTCTAATGGTGACTCTAGGAAAAACTATTCCTATCTTCATTCCAATTATGAATTAAAAATTAAACCTAATCAAGTTGAGATGGAGTTACCACAGAGTGGTAGTTGTTAATGATATGTCTGTACCCAGGAAAAGGGAAAGCTGTAGGTTAACAGAAAATATGCAAAAGGGTCATTAACCTACTAGGCCTTTGAATATACCCACAAGTTTTCTTCAAAATTAAAACAAACCCAACTCTAAATTAAATCTATTTTTTCTGAATAGTTTTTTGAAAAATGTAAAATGAAAAAGTTCTTTGTTTTTGTTCCATTATCACTACTGTAGTAGAGCTTAATAGAACTTACTAATTAATGTTTTAGCCACTTTGTGCATTAAATATTTTCTGTGACTTGGCCTAAAACCATATAAGCTTTTTCTCCATGAGAAAATATGTTCTGAGTCTAAAATACCCAATATACCAACAAGTTGGGAACCCTTTCCCAAGGCAGGCACCTGCATGAACCGCACTAACCATTTCTTCTGGTGCAGCAGGAGCTGTAGATCCAGCACCAAGAGGAGCAGAAACAGAGGAAGTGGATGCAGCCCCCGCAGAAGTGATGGAGGTGGCAGAGGGAAAGGCAGCAGTGCCGGTCGCTCCCATGGCTGCACCTGCTGGGGATGGCGCTGCTGCAGCTGCTGAGGGTATCGGAGCGGAAGGATCCAAATGAGCAGGGTGTTCTTTCCCTTGAACACCAGGACCATATTCTTCCTTTTTATTATTTGTGAAGTCCAGCCCTATAAACCACAAATTAATGCCATTCAAATTCTTCCAAGTTAAGATTACTTCTGTCCCCCAGCAATAAAAACACATAATAGCTACAATTTGGTCTTAACAGAAATGTAGAAATTTGTCCTTTATTGGATACAATGTTCAGTTAATAGTTTGTCAGTATTAACTGGTTAATGTCAGCATTAACCACTGAAGACTTCAGACCACTTCCTTCAACATGTGAAAGCTAATGAATGATTGATTTGCTCTTACTTAAAAGATAAAAATAAATTATGTACTCAGCTGGGACCTCAGTTGAGTTAAGTCAGTTGCCATCACAACCATTACAATAGTAAGGTCACACTGAGGATTTATGTCCTTTTGTGTTATTTCATGCAACTGTCCTGATAAATGTCCTGATATTTAGATCTTTAGAATAATTTTGTGATATCACCATACCCTCTCATTTCCTTCCATTGCTCCTATTCTAACAAAATTAATGTATTTTTATTTTTGATTTTTCAGCAAACAAATCTATAAATGAATTTTGACATTGTAAAAGAAATGAGCTCTTGCAGGTAATTATGTGAGTCATGAATTAAGAGCATATTTGTACACTTAACTGATTCTAATGACACACATACAGTCACCTTCTCTCAAAACTGAACCTTAACCTTAGATCAACGAATAACATCAGCTTCCAGAGAAGCTAGGACGAAGGGTCCTATTTTAGATATTCCCCTCCCAATATTAGAATTTGGTTAAAATTTCTACTTAAAACTCTTATTTATGTGATACCGAAGACCAGGGTGAGGGTTTCACAATTCAGTCACTGAGATGTTTCAGAGTATCTGAATAGAGTATGTAACCCCTATGTTTCTATGTTGTCCTCTTTCCATCTAGAAATCTGGGCTTTCGTGCCTTTTTCTTAGACTAAATTTATATAAAATATATAAACTTTATAAACACAGTTTAATGAGGATTACAATGCATGGGTCCTTTGAAATCATTTAATGAAAGAGACTAATTCAATATAAAATATTCTTTGTGCTTTGAAATACACGCACACATACACACTGAATTTTAACGTGTTTTTGATAGAAAGTGATTCTGTCTCTTTTTAGGTTGGTGGCACACTTTATATCAGATGTGAGACCAGTACACAGGTCAGGTCTGGCCAAGGGACTCCCGGGAAGAGAGGCCAACTCTCAATGATGTGGGTGGATTACGCAGTTCCTGTTTGTCAGATAACTGTAAGTTTTAATAATTATTTTTGCTTTAACTGGGATAAATTTTTTCAATTGTGAAGTATTTATCTACTCTTCTTAAAACTGCTTTGAAAATTGGCAGGTATCATAAAGTCCATTTTTATTGTCACATTTTGCCTTCTTCATAGAAACTTCTTACAATCTGTAAGATTTAGGATATTGTACAACATGAGATGCACTGCAGATGACAGACAGCTGAGAATCAGGACAAATAAAAAAATCAAATACTAGTTTTGTTCTAACAAGACAGAAACCTTAGGAACACTACATTATTAAAAACAGCATTGTAAAAAGCAGTTGTCTTAAGGGAAGGGGCCAGATGTAATTTTTTCTTGTGAGAATTACAGCTGTTGTTAAAATGCCACAAAACCTAAACATCACTGAGCAAATCCACCATTAGATCACACTGAACTTTTGCCTTTGGTAGCTCCCCCAGCACTGTTGCTGACTGTGTGTCTTATTACTCCTGTTATCTTTATCCCTCACTGTTATGACAAAGCATAAGGCCACTCAAAACAGTTGGGTTCCCAGAACTTGGCATTAGCTGCAGAAGACAGGAGATGTAAAAGCAACAGGAGCAAAACAAATCATGTTGGGTAATTATGAGAATACATTTTCTCCAAATCCTGTAATGGATGTTTACTAACAGGAGACAGAGCTGTATTTGAATTTAAAATTTAAGACGGTCAATTTATAAAGGTGGCAAAACACTCTGTCCTAAGTCAATTCATAATCTTCATAAGTAGGTTATGAAAAACAGGTTTCTTGTAATTAAATGTAAGAAGTTCTAATAATTTGTCACCTTACTTGTGAAATCAGTATCTCTTCTATGTAGATAATTAAATTCTTCAATTTAATACATATAACTTGCTAATAATTAGAACTGAAAGCAGACTATTCTGTTATTAGAGGTGGTTTGTTTGTTTTCAGCACTGATATTCAGTTAAAAGACCATTTATTAGAGAAATCAAGCACACTTCGGGTTATCAGCAAGATAAACTATTTAGCCTTGATAATCTATAATTCTGTTTCCAACCTACATATGGGCCACACACCCCAACTGTTTCAGAGAGAAAATAATTTGCCTTAACTCACTGCCACCCACAACATGCACAATTTAAATAATAAAAGTTTGTTGATGCTTTAAAATGAGGGCACAACAAGTACAGAGAAGTTATTCACTGGAATGAAATCATGTTAATGATGTTACAAAATGAAACTGTCTCATTGATAAGTTAACCATGAATCTTAAATAGGATTTACTGTAGGGGAATACTACAAAAATGTCCATGTCTGCATGAGCCCTGGGAGGCCAACCTGAATGAATTAAGACTACAGTAATTATATGACTATCATCTTACAAGCGAAAGTATTTTTTCTCTTAAAGTGTTTTCGAGTATACTGCACTACATTCCCACAAGACCCCTATTGAGCAGGTAAAGAAGGTTTATATTATCTTCTTTGTTCAGAGAAGAAAACCGAAATCCAGTAAGGAAAATAGGCCTCATTGTAAATCGGTGGCAAAGGAATCTTGTCATGTGCTCTTCCAAGTCATGCTGATGAAACCGACCCAAACAACTCAGATCTGAGCCAATATGTGGACTTCTTGAAATAATTTTTTTTTTTTACTTCTATAGACAGTCCTATAACTTTTGAAAATGAGTTTTAGTTGAAGTTTCTCTTAAACTAAAAAACAAGCATGAGTGAATTTTCATGACAGATTTAAAACTGGATACAGTGACACTGAATTTAAAAATACAGTGCCTGGATGAGACATTTATTGCAGAAAATTAGTACTATATACCATACTAATCACTGAAATCTCAAATCCTTTTTGAAAGCAGGCAGAGAATCTTAAAATAAAACACTAACCTGTATCATTTCTGTTTTGAAATATTGTCATGGCTTCAAGATTTAATGCACACACCCCCCGCATGAAAGCTTTCTTCATGGAATCTTCAAAGTGCTCTTTTTCATGCTGCATTCTTTGGATCTCAGCTTTTGCATTTTCCAAAGCTCCAGATAACTAAAATAAAGAGAATTGAAAGGTTTATGATACAAGGAAGAACATTATTTGTTGTTAAAAAGTAGACTTACACTGTGCAGTTTTTAGGTGAAATACTAAAAACACTTTTCCACATGCCTCTTCTGCTATGTGTCTCAGTTTATTTTAAAAGGTGCATCTTACCTCTAGTGTCTTTCAACAAACCATTTTCATTTCTAACCACAAAGTCCAGGTTCAAACGAGGGGAATTTTATACCAGTCCCACTGAAGGTTGCTGATGTGTTTTAATTATACAGAAAGATATGCCATTTCTTACCATAAATCTTTTATGTAGGATATTAAAAAAAAAATACATTAAGAGCCACAGACAGCCCTTACCCTTTTAGAAAAAAAACAACTACTAAAGGCCTGCAATATTAACAGAATTTTTTAAAACTAAATGTTACCATAGACTTTAAAGTGCAAAGTGATATTAGTTACAACACACTTTCCCAGAGCAAATCTATAAGGGACTCCATTTTTTGCATGTTATTTTCAATTGCAGAAAATTATCTGTATTATGACACTGATTTTTAATATTAAGAACTTAATACTATAATGATGAAATATTTTTTTCCTTTTAGTATTTGATTTCAAGATGCCTACCGCATTCTTCCGTGTGGTTTTTATTTCATTTTAGTCTCAACTGTTTTCCCATGGAAACAATGTTAATTTTATTGTTAAAAGTCAATGGGAAAATAATTCCAATTTGTATTCAACTGCTTTAAATCAACCTTACATGAACAAAGTTTATTTAAATTAACAAGAGGATAAACATTTTTGGTTTTGGTGTCTAATCTTGGCTAAATAAAAGCCAAAAGAAGCAGCATAAGAAAGTAGGCAGTTTTAGAGATGTAAGGATTTAGGGGTGATTCACATTTTCAAGACACATGTATACACAGGAGTTCCAACACAAGTCTGGAGGCCAGAGTTATAACCTTTAAAGAATAAGTCTGTAAGTCTGACTCATTAGTGTTGTGCTTTCCCAAATAGTCAAGTAGTCTCATTTGAAGATACATTGCATTAAATGGAATTAGAAATGAGTCACTCTGCCTAACTATAAACTAACAGTGAGTGCTGCTACCCATTTTTTAAATTTCTATTAAAGGAAAGTAAAAATTAAAAAAAAAAAAAATAGAAGTTTTACCACAGCAACTTTGGTTTCATAATCATTGGAAATCTGGATACAGACTTCTTCAGCTCTGGCTTGACAGGCTCGCTCCACCACATCTTTCCACTTCTTTTGCACCATGGAGCGCCAGCCTTTCCAGACCTTCTTCAGTAAAGTTCTCTGGAAATACTGGTCAGCTAGTTTACCCTCATAAACCTAAATGAAAGTAACATAACCTTAAAACACAGTGCACTGGTAAATATACTGGCAGTAGTAATAAGAAACTTAACACGGTGGTAAGCAGTGTACATACATTACCATTTAATCCCGTGTAATTATTCTCATCTGCATATAGGAGAACAGGCTTAGAGAGGTTAAGTTACCTGCCCAAGCTGACAGGGAAAAGCCACCTTTGCCTCATTCTAGAGCCTAAGCTCTTTCTTACCCATTACATCATTGTTTTGGGCAACTAATCAAGTTAGGGGAAAAACACAACAACAACAAAAAACAAATGAAAGAAAATGAGTAACTTGCCACCATCTTCTGAATCTGCATGACCTTTTAGCTGAACCAGGACTAAGAGAACAGAGCAGCTGGAAGGCAGAAAGAGGACTGTGGCTTCAGATGGCGCTCTTTTCCTTTGGCTCGGTGGCCACCACCATAAGCAAGATTAATTTAATTTACATACTTTGCATCATATATAGTGCCAAACCGATCCAAACAGGAACATATGCTATTATTTTTATCAATGAATTTAAATTCTTTTGAAGAACTAGTTCCAATTTTCAATCTTCTTAAATTTGAAAAGCTATTAAAAGTGATGGTAGCCTCAACTATTTCTGCTAACATTTAAACATAATATATTCTCATTATGTCACTTGATAAATAACTTTCAAAATATGGTATAAATACTCATTTTAAATAGTTATTTTCAGTCTGATTAATGTAGATTTAATCTTTTGGGATTAATTAAAAAACTTAAAGCACTAGGAAGTATGCTTAAAGGAGAAATCCTATTCCATGATAGTAGAATGTTAAATATTAATATTATTAATACTAAATATTAATGTTTTAAAATATTAATATTTAATGTTAATTTCTTGGAACTAAATGTACAGAGATCACTTCATGGCTCACATGAGCATTACATTACACACACACACACACACACACACACACACCCCCAATACTCAAGTCTTTATGCTCTTCTTGTAGGATATATACATACTCATATTTTGCCACTTTTGATACAATAATTTATTATTCTCTGTCAGTTTGTCTTTACTCTGATATCCATTCAGCTCTTATTTAATTAAAATGAACAATGTTCAAATTTAAATTCTATACAGACTAACATTAATTTTTAAAAAGCTATACAGACATGGCTTTCTTTAATTCTTACTCAAAGGCAAATCTACACAAGAAACATTTATACAATTTTATAATGTATAACTATACTGTTGCCTCTTTTTTATATATATATATATATATATTGATTTCAGAGAGAGGAAGGAAGAGGGAGAGAGATAGAAACATCAATGATGAGAGAGTCATTGATCGGCTGCCTTGTGCATGGCCCCTGCTGGGGATCGAGCCCCGGGCATGTGTCCTGACTGGGAATCGAACCCTGATCTCCTGGATCCTAGGCCAACGCTCAGCTGCTGAGCCACGCCCGGCCGGGCTGTTGCCTCTTTTTGAGAATGTATTCAGGCATTTTAGAAGTAGAAACAATATAGGAAGCATATGATATGTTTCAGATTGTAAATTCTTTCTCCACATAATCATATCTGAGCCAAATTTGTTAAAGGGGTTCCATTACCAGGGCATTTGTAAGTTAGGTACAATCCCTATTAACCTATTGTGAAGTAGGAAATGATATGTCAGTAAGTCTATAAAATATGAAGTATTTTTCCCCCAAACTATACCGATACCAAATTCCTTTGAAATCAGAGCAACATTAAATTGTAAATTCATTTTGACTTATTAGAAAATAAATCCTTCTTTGACGTTAACAAGAGTTCTAATATGTGACCCTAAGCACTTCTGAGTTCAGAAATCTAATATTTGTCAGTCGTCTTTTCGTTCTTATACTTACATCCTGTCTGGCTTTGACATGGCCAATCCGCCAGTGGAAGAATGTTCTCGTCAACTCTACCCTCTCCTTTTGCTTGCCTATGGCATGAGACAAGCTGGAAATGACCTGTAAACAACGAGTAAGGCAATTACTGTGATGTTACAGTAACAGCTACTGGTAAAGTGATTTTTCTCATATATCAAAAAGTGCTAGAGAATACCAGTGGATCACTACTATATCCATCCAGTTAACCTCCTTATTATCTTTAAAACCACCAAAAACTTCTCCACATGAACACACTACACATCAATGAATAAAGGGGAACAAAAGAGGAAGGAAATCTCATATGTGTACTTTGGTAATCACCAGAAAATTTATGTACATGAAAATTAATACAGGGTGGGACACAGGTAGGTTTACAGTTGTTTGTATGGAAAATAATACAATAATTAAAAAATAATACAAGAATAAACTCTGTTTCACATATTCAGTTGTAAACCTACTTGTGCCCCATCCTGTATGGTCACTGACATTTAATTCAAGAAAAACAACTCTACACTGAAAGTTTTGCTACATATACAAAAAGTCTTTATTGACTAGAATTGAAGGCAGAGACCAGATTTTAAATATCTTTCTAGTCCCTAAATACCTTTAGTACCTTGGATTAAAAGTTTCTCAATAACTAGTTAATAATTTTCTTCTGAATTCAGCAAACTCATGAAAGCAAGTAACTGTTATACTTTGATGTACTTCTTCACTGATATTATTCTTGTTCTTAAAAAAAAAATCTACGGAGGCTTTTAAATCCTAAGAGAATACTCTCTCTTACAAAGAACTGAGTAACTGAAATGTACATCTAAAAATGGCCACAAAGAGAGATTTTGTATATTGGGCACATTTACTGAGAGAGATTTATTCTAGTTTCTTAAGAGTTTTATAAGTGGAAAACGGCCCACATTTAAGACACTGTTAATATTCTTTTTATATATCTTTATTGATTTCAGAGAGAGGAAAGGAGAGGAAGAGAGAGAGAGAGAAACATCAATGATGAGAGAGTCACTGATCGAGCCCGCAACCCGGGCATGTGCCCTGACCGGGAATCGAACCCCGATCACCTGGATCCTAGGTCGACGCTCAACTGCTGAGCCACGCCCTGCCAAGTGATATTCTTTCTTTTTTTTTTTTTTTTTAAAAATATATCTTTATTGATTTCAGAGAGAGGAAAGGAGAGGGAGAGAGAGAGACAGAAAATCAATGATGAGAGAGTCATTGATCGAGCCCGCAGCCCGGACATGTGCCCCGACCGGGAATCGAACCCCGATCGCCCGGATTCCAGGTCGACGCTCAACTGCTGAGCCATGCCCGGCCGGGCGATATTCTCTTTTTTAAGATGTATGGTGCTGGCTATTCATTTTGTTTTAAAAAATTGGAAATGTATGTACTCTTTTTATGAGTCATACTTTAAAATTAAAAAATTATACTTAAAATATTTAAAAACCTTAGGATAGGGTTTTGAGGGTAACAGAGAAAATGACTGACATTAATATCTATTGTTTCAAAAATATAAACTATGAAAAATGTTCAATTTTATATTATTCCTTGCAATACCAAAAGAAATGTATACATTAAAAAAACCACATAAATCTTTATCCAGTTAATTAAAACAGTGAGTGCCGCATCTGCAGACAGGCAGCTGAGGTGTTTGCTGAGTCCCCCTTCTCTGAAAGCCACCATCCTCCTGGGGCAGCCACAGATTTGTTGCCCACCTGCTTTGTTCAAGCTGCTGTCTGGATACAAAATTAGCACACACCTGAACCTTACTCTCAAGTTCTTAACAGGCTAATAGTAAGTGAAATAAAAGGTGCTGCCCAGCTGGGCGTGGCTCAGCAGCTGAGCTTTGGCCAAGGATCCAGGAGATCATGGTTCGATTCCCGGTGAGGGCACATTGCAGGTTGCTGTGGGTTCAATCCCTAGTAGGGGGCGTGGAGGAGGCAGCCAATCAATGACTCATCATTGATGTTTCTCTCTATCCCTTCTCCTTTCCGCTCTTTGAAATCAATATATACTTAAAAAAAAAAAAAAGTGCTATGTATCAATAAAAGAACAGATTTCATCAGTGAGTAAACACATATCACAGATAGAATGTGAGAAACGTAAAAGGACCCCTAAAAAGATAGTTTAAAATGTGGATAATGCTGGTTCCCAAATGTTCTCTTAAAGGCAGTTAGGAAGAAAAAATGAGTGTTCCCACATTTAGTAGGCACTCCAAAAACTTCAAGCACACTGAAGTTCATCTCAGAGAAAAATGGCGTGACCACAGCATGTTTAACAGGAAGAACAAATCGTATATCTATGCATCTGTTTTTCTACCAGCTTATGAAGCGATCTTCCCTTTGTATCTTGCATGCCCTAAAAAAATCCCTTCCTAGCTTTTTAAAAAAAAAAGATCTTAGAGAGGGAGGAAGGGAGAGAAAGCGAGGGAGAGAAACACTGATGTGAGAGAAATACATTGATAGGTTGCCTCCCGCATGGGCCCCAACCAGCAATTAAACCCAACACCTAAGTATGTGCCCTGACCAAGAATCGAACCCATGATCTTCAGGTGCACCAGGCTACGCTCCAACCAAACAAGCCACACCAGCCAGGGCATTTCCTGGCATTTATTATCTAGCAAGACATTTACTGAATCTGTTAAAAAAGAAATATAAAAAAGAACACCTCGTCTTTTCTCCCAATGGAGATTTCATAGGCATTTTGCAGCTCCTTCAAGCTGCTGATCTGGTTGCACAGTTGTTTTAAATGAGCTGCATGTTTTTCTTTCTCTTTTCTCATTTCCATACGGTGCCAGTCAATAAAATTTAGTCGCCATTTAGTTAGTTCAGATATGATGTTTGTCTGAAAAATAAACATACTGATAGCTAAGCAGTTTGTTCCTTAATAGTGCTTCTTAAAATTACACTGAAATTAAGAAAGACTTAAAAAAATCAGAATAGGCAATCAACATAAATGCTATTTTTAAAAATCACTAATGAAAATGTGTACAAGTTCAACAGTTACAGTTCCTTAGTTCACATTCACTATACTAAGGAATATGAATTTTTTCCTATTTTAAGTTACTTTGTATTAAAGCTTATTGTCACTTAAAAATTTTTCAGGTTTCATTCACTAAATAAACAGGTTCTTTGTTTATTCAAGGACGTAGAAGTCCATCTTAAGATGGATCAGGAAAAAAAAGCCCTAGACTGAGCCATAGGACTGGGAAGTTATTTAGATAGAGGTGGATAGTGGGAAACATGGGAGCTGATACTTTCTTCCCCCAAATAATTTATCACAGTGGCTACCTGAAAAATTGCTAAGTCTGATCCCTTTTTACTCTGACTGGCATAAGTAAAAAGACCAAATAATCATGTTATCAAAAATTAGATAACAATATGGTTAATTGAACACAGAACAATTTAAATGGTTGGTGGTACACTACTCCAGCTGACTTACACCATGATTAGAAGTATGAAACCTGTTCCATGGAGGAAATGGTATAGTAAAAGACTGTATCTGGAACTTATGGTTCAAAATAACAGAGAAATATAGATGCCACAGAACTCTCATGACCATAATTTCTCCATGCATGTGAATACTCAGCTTCGTTTTCTCAAACTGTATTTCAGGAAAATGGTTATTTTCTCAACTGTTAACCCTCAACTTTAAGTGTTTTACTTAAAGGCCACTAACATGACTAAAATGAAAATCAGTTTTTATAGATATATCAGTTATACATTGGGGTCACTATAAAAGTGGCTATAAAATGAATATGTTGCTAAAACTGGATTTTGTATTTCATATAAAAGGAAACATTTTCATTAGTCACAGCTATGACATAGGAAAGGTTCAGTGAGTGTCTCAGTCACACACAGGGTCCTTCCAAAAATCTGAGAAACTCAGTAGAATGTCCAGAGCTGTGCCAGCAACTATTTAAAACCTTGGTATTCAAAGTATGTTTTCTGAACCAGCAGCATCAATCACCTGGGAGCTTGTTTGAAAGGCAAGCCCTCAAGACTGAAAAAAAGCTGCAGTTCAACAGGATTCCCAGGGAATTCATAAGGACATTGAAGACTGAGAAGTGCAGATTCAATACGTTGGACTGATCTCATAAAACTAAAGATTAAAAAAACCTTTTAATTTAAAGAAAAACTGGAATTAAGAACAAAATTGTTATGCTAATTCAGCCACAATACCTTAAGACCTGAACTCCAAAGATCCAGTACATTTTCCACTTTCTGAAGGTTTTCTTCAGAAACAAGGAAATCACCCATAAGCATTTCATGGACACCAGCATGACTAGAATTAGACCCTGGTGAGGATGAGTTGCCTAAAAGATTTGAACTGAAAAAATCCATGATGGGGTGAGAAGGCTTCCTTAGTGATGACACTGGTGATGACCCTAGAATAAAAAAGTTGTAGCGGTCAAGGCAAATTGAAAACCACCCAAATCGGTGAGGACTTACACTGGAAGGCTAGATGTCAGTTACTACATAGGCTGAGAAAAATGCAGAGAAATGACCTTTTAGAGTACTTAATCTAGCTATTTTTAATTTCAGTATTGTCACTGATTTAGGACTAATCAGCATGAGACGCCTCCTGTACTCATATATCTCGGTCCAGCCTGAGCTGAAACTGTTATCATCTGTGTCGTCATATCAGCATTTTCTAAGCGCTTTGTATGTTTCTATAATAAAAATGCTATCAGGATTAGCTCTCATAATACATGCTACGCTAAAACATAGGTATTATCTCCATTTTACTGATGAAGAAACCGGTTCAGAAATAATTGACCAAGGTCAGAGTAGTTGTATATAGATCATTATTACTTTATATAAAACACTGGGATGGTTTTAACACTACTAAAATTCAATACTATAAGTAGAAAAGAGACTAGTAATTTAGTTTATTGGCTACTCAACTGTAAGGCACCCTGTTTGCCTTCAACATATAGGTAAGCTATATGTGTGTGTGTACATATACTTCCATCTTTTGCCCATATACCTGGGGGGTGGGGATGAGGGTGAGAGCCAGAGCCAGAAAGAGAACTGGTATCTATCTTCTAAAAGCACAAAATAGAAAAGTTACTATTTTATCACACTTGTATGTATCATTTCTCACATATCACACTTTTGATATGAGGGTCTTATAACTAAGACTGAAGGGCTTTTCTCGTTTCCTTACTGAATGATTCAGACAAAGATAAATCTACTGTAGAACTTGTTACTTAAAAGTAAATCTTTCAAGAATTCTTTGCAAACGGAAAAACCTAGTAGATTTAAGAAAGGATGTCACACACTATAATACATAAACTTGTCTTAATTGTACTATTTTGAATCTTATGAGATTTTAAATAGTATTACTTAATAACTTAGCAACAGCATTTTAAAATCCTGCCAATAAGTAATATGCTAAAATTATTCCTCTTACTACACAGATAACACTCATCGAGCCACAAATGTGTATTAATGAAAACAAGCTAAGGAAAAGCCATACCTTCTGTCTTTGAATGACTTGAAATATTTAAATCACACCCTTTTCCAACTTCCATCCTTGTTTCTCTTTCTACAGGGCTATTTCCTACTGAAAAGAAAAAGCTGTCTTTAAAAATTAAACCAAAGCACCCTTAAATAAAATGCCTAAAGTACACACACCTAATTTAAGAGATACATAAATAAGACTTTAGGACAAGGAAAATACAATATGCTGGGGTTATAGGAGCAGTAAAACAAAAAACAAGAATAAAGAAAAGACTCTGAACTAGAAAAAGTCTTATAATACCATTAATAAGCTCAATTTCACCCATCAAATGTGGATGAAAGAGAATTCAGTCTACTACAGCTTTCAGTTCACACTAAGAATCAGTGGATGAGTGATATTAGAAGTTGGAAAGGCTATGCTGTCTAACAACAATGGATATTTCCAGGAGCCTGCTGCTTTTCACTAGCTGCAATCAAACTAAAGTGACACTGGTTCTCCCCAAAACAGGGACTTCCTTACTTCCACCTCAGGAACCTTTAGTCAATACATGGTGAAAAGGTAACTGGGAAAAACCTCACAAGAATGACTTGGCCAACTTTGACACATCTCACTTATACCAAGCAATGGCAATACTAAGAGTAAAGAAAATGGAATGATAATTTTTTTTTTGAGAGAGAGGAAGGGAGAAGGAGATAGATAGAAACATCAATGATGAGAGTCATTGATCAGCTGCCTCCTACACCCCCCTACTGGGAATTGAACCTGAAACTGGCCATGTACCCTGACAGGGAATTGATCTGTGACCTACTGGTTCATAGGTTGATGCTCAACCACTGAGCCATACCTGCTGGGCTGGGATGATAAATTTACATTGTCCATTCTAACCAACTTTATGTGTGAATCAGGATAATCTAAATGCACTGCATGTTGTAATGCTTAGGCCTCAAGTCCAGTTTTGTTTGCTTGTTTTTAAATCCTCACCTGAGGATGTTTTTTCACTGCTTTTCAGAGAGAGTGGAAAAGGGGGGGAGGGGAGAGAGACACATCAATTGGTTGCCTCCTGCATGCACCCTGACTGGGACCGGGGAGCAAGCCTGAAACAGAGGTACGTGCCCTTGGCCGGAATCAAACCCGGGACCCTTCAGTCTGATGCTCTAACCACTAAGCAAAACCTGCTAGGGCCTCAAGTCCTTTTTGATAAAGGCAAAGCATAAACAAATACTATCTTACATACTAGAAAAGAGCAGGGGTGTTAAATCCCAAGTGAATACCTTGAAAGGTTGCAGAGTAGGGGCAAAGAAAGGACTCCTGTGTTGTGCCACTGGGAACAACAGTACAGTAATACTGTAGCCAATGGAAAAGAAAACAAGCTTTTGGTAATCACCTTAAGGGCAGAGGTTTAGAGGGCTAACACGCTGATTGTCTATATACCTTGGTAAGAAAGTATGCAGCACTTTGGGTTTGCTCAGTGGGAACTCCATGTTGAGGTGCCAGTGTAATCAAAACATGGTCAAGATCACTGATATAGAATGAGTAAGTCCAAGGGTCCTATCTCTTGAAGATCACTACAATTTGAGTATAAAATATTCAGTGGCAGAATAAATACATGTATTTTATGACTGTGGTCTATTTGTTGACCCAGTGCAGTAGGCCAAACATTGAGAGGTAACGAGAACTCCATGTCTACAGAGGGAGGACAACAGACACTAGGGCTGTGTCTTGCCAGACACCCAAGAGCCTGCTGATGCCGAGTAGGCTGTGTCACGTGCCTTCAGGAGGGATCCTTACAGTTATACTTACTGTGGATCACTGCCCGTTATCAGGACTTTTTTACAAGGGTTTCTGTACCCTTATTTAGAGCCAGCTGTTTGGGATCCTGCACTTCACTGAATAAGGAATAAATAGGTAAAAGGAGTGTCCTCCTTTCTCAACCTTTTACTCAGCTGTCAGCACCCATTCCGATTTGTATTAGCTCTCAGTTCCGTCACTGACACAGTCCAAAGGTGGGTTTACGTTTGTGATGATAAACAGTCCTCCATGCCCATATAAATACTGCTGACAGTCCTAGCACATGGGTCATAAACTTAAGGAGTTCTGGCCTACCTATAGACCATCTTTAATTTGGAGAGGATTGGGCATTTATTTTCTGAGATAATCCTGGCAAATAACCATTGGAAAAATATAGACATGTAACATTCCACCAAGAGACATGCAATGGCTACAGCGTTGCTTTAACTTTATTACCTTTCATAAAAGTAGTAGTCAAAGAAACCTTAAATAAAAACACAGCTATCATATAAGAGCGAAGACTAACATATTAAAATGTAAAGAGTTTCCCCAGATAATAGTGATATACACCATTGACTGAGAAGACTCACTGGAGAAGCATTTTCACAATCATAAGTGAATAGCATTAATAAGCTCAAGTAACACCTTAAATTAAAAGATAACTTGAAAAATATACATAACCTTGATTATGAAGAATATCATCAATTATAGTAGGAAATCTAACATCTGGAACCACTTCTCCCTTAGAATGAGATGGCTGTGAAGCACCTGATTCAATATTTGGAGTCACTATAGCATAACGAAGCAGTTCTTCATACTCTTCCTATGAGAAATCAATGATAAATGTTTTTAACACTGTCACTCAGGCAAAAGAACAAAGGTTGTACATATTTACTATATGTAAAAGTTATAGCTATTTTATGTTATTTTATTTTTAACATCATTTTTGGTATTTATATTTTGAAATGTTTTCAACAATGGGTAGGCTTTCAACTGTAGTCAAGAACTAGGAGGGTCATAAGTTGAGAGTCACTAATAAACAGAATATCAGTTGGGCTGACATTCTAAGCAGATAACCAATAACACAAAATGATTTCTGGCATGTCTAGATTCTGTCCCTCTCTTAAGTTCTATATATAGAGATTTCTTCTTTTGATGTAAAGCTTTGTCTCCTGACAAAACAACACCTTGAGATATTACAAGGTAAGTTTACATTTTAGTAATAAAGGGTTCTGGACCCAGCAATTACAATGTATGAGGGTTTTTCCCCACCACCAACAAGCAATTCTTGGACACCAGCTGGGTGTCTTACAATTCAACTCAATTCTGACACTATCCACCAGAGTTAGCATCAGATCACACAGGTTAAGGGTTCAGTCCCACAAGACTACTCCCTGCATCCCCAACTTCAGGTCACCTATGCTTCTAACAGACCAGCTATGGATTGGAGGTTCCAATGATCCCCTCCTCAGGTTCAATTAATTTCCTAGAGTGTCTCACAGAACTCAAACATTTTACTTACTAGATTACTGGTATATCATAAAAGGATATAACTCAAGAATAGCCAGATGGAATTGAGGCATAGAGCAAGGTATGGGGAGGGGGTGTGGAGCTTCCATGCCCTCTCCTAGCATGCCAATCACCCAGCACCTCCAACCCAGAAGCTCTCTGAATTCTCTTTTTTGGGTTTCTATGGAGGCTTGATTACACAGGCATGATTCATTAAATCCTGGCCATTGTTGACTGAACTCAATTTCCAGCCCCTGTACCCTCCGAGGAAGTTGGTTGGGGGATGGGACTGAAAGTTCCAACCCTCTAATCACATGGTTGGTTCCTCTGGTAACCAGCCCCCATCTTTAAATGAGGGTTCAAAAGTCACCTCGTAACAAAAGACACCTTTATCATTCTCATAGCTTAAGAAATTCCAGTGGTTTTAGGAGCTCTGTGCCAGAAACCATGATGAAGATCAAATATATATATTTCTTATAAACCATAGTATCACAGGTATAAATGAGTTAATCAGTTCCCTCTAGAAAGAAGTTTGGATAAGGCAGAGATGAAGGGTACAGGAAAGCACTGTCACCTAAAAAGATAGCATTAAGCAGGAGAGGTACCATCCAAAGGGAAGGCAAGGATAAAACATCTGTCACAATTCCAGACTGCTTTTTTACTAGTAAATAATTACAGGTATTTTAAAAATAACCTCAATTTCTAAATCTGCAATTTCAATTAAAGGAACACATTTGTTTCATAAAATATTTTCCTAAAGCTTTTCTCATATTATACAGTGCCCATAAGAACTTACTCAACATAACGTCCAGCTTTTTTCCTGTTAAGGGATTTAACTATAAAACTCAAGATATACCATGTTAGAATTCTCTTAATTAAAATCTACTCTAGAAATCTGAATCCATATTTTTGATGATAAAACATTCAGAAATAAAAGAAATTCAGAACATTTCACATAAAATCCATATCTTCTATAGTCAATTTATCTGTCACTGTCCAGGTCCTGGGCAGCAGAATGTGCTGAATGTTGTGGCAACAGGGACTAGAACCTAGAGTAGAACTCTAAGGAATCTAGGCCCCAGAACTTTGGATGGTTTGATATTGTATTAATTGGCATTAAAGTGAAAACAGCATTCATACAAGATAGCTATAATGAGAAAATGTCAAGCCCTGGCCAGTGTTGCTCAGTGGTTAGAGCGTCAGCCCTGGAACCAAAGTGTGGAAGGTTCAATTCCTGGTCAAGGGCACATACCTGAGTTGCAGGTTCAATCCCAGCCCTGGTTGGGGCATGTGCAGGAGGCAAATGATGGATGTGCCTCTCTCACATTGATGTTTCTCCCTCCCTCCTTTCATCCCACTCTCTCTAAAAATCAGTAGAAAGAATATCCTTGGGTGAGGATTCACCAAAAAAAAAAAAAAATTTTCAAGAAAAAGCTGTTTGAGATTTCCAGCTTCTCTCATTGTCTTATTTGAAGCCTTTGTGCCAAGAGTGAAGAGCTCATGATTATTTTTTGAAAGGTTAAAACAATGTAAGGTATTTCCCAAAGTCTGTAACATAATTCCCAAAGTTTGGTGTAATTTGATTACATTATACATTATGTACACACTATAATTATAAATATAAATGGCATGAATGAATGAAAAATTAATTCCTGGTTTTTCTTCATACTACTTGTTGAAAATAAATAAGTTACAACAAATTTAGACACATCTTCCTACCTGAAGATCTGAAGAGACAGAACTGTCTTGGTTGGGGTCATTCTGCATAACTGGAAGTGAGCATTTCTCCTCATCTGATGACATTCTGCACAAATACTATAAAACAGTAAGAGTTATCTTTAGTTTCTTCCCCTCAATATTTAAACTAAAATAAAATGTTTTAATATAGAGATGGAACACCATCCTAACCTGTAAACAATAATTGGGATATGTTAAAATCATTTACAATACTGAGCAACCATAAAATCATTGGGCAAGAAAAATAGTTAAACACCCAATTCCCCAAATTAGTGAGTTTATAAAGTAGCAAAGGAGATGACACAAATACATGAAAGGTGAAAGAAAAGTGGGGGCTCCTCAGAAAAATCTGCAGTAGAGCCTGTTGAGGATAATAGGTGTTATCTCTGTTCTTCAATGTGTGACAACCTGGGTGTTGTGCACTTTCTTTGAACATACTGAACCAAGGAGAATGAACAATTTGTGCAAAGTCCCTGCTTGGGAAACTGACCTTTTGGGAGTCTTATTTTAAGAAAAGCGAACCTAGCCCGGCCAGGCATGGCTCAGCAGTTGAGCATCGACCTAGGATCCAGGCGATCGGGGTTCGATTCCCAGTCATGGCACATGCCTGGGTTGCGGGCTCGATCCCCAGTCAGGGGCGTGCAGGAGGCAGCCGATCAATAACTCTCTCATCATTGATGTTTCTATCTCTCTCCCTTTCCTTTCCTCTCTCTGAAATCAATAAAGATATAGTTAAAAAAAAGAAAAGCGAACCTATACAAAACAGCAGATTCTAATACAAACATAGAAAAATTGTTGAAAGTCTTAACCAAAAAAATAAAAGTGCTTTTAGTAACTGGTAAATAAATTATTTAGAAGAGAAGTAGTGAGTATTCAAACTATCTGAATACTGGTAACATGAAAGACGGTGAGGAAGTAACATGAAGAGTTCTCAAGGGCTTTCAATTTATGGAGAGGGTCAGATACGTATGTAAGTGACTGATGAAAAAAGTGCTGTTAGACCCTAAAACAACAGAGATGCAAAGAAGGGAGGGAGGAGTAGCCATTTTTCATGGGGTGAGATCATGAGGGAGGGAAGAAGTAGGAATGGAGCCGGGGAAATTTTTAACAGAGATGACCCCAGTGCTGAGACCTGAAAGACAGATAAAAGGTACCAGGATATGCTAAGCAGTAGAGCCACATAAGCAAAGACACTGAGGCATGGACACGTATGCAGGAACATAAGTAGTTTGTAAGGCTGAAGCAAAGGGTGCAGAGCAAGGGTTGGCCAAAGACCAAACAGGCACATTAGGAGCAGCCATATGGAAGATCATGATTACATCATGTTAAAAAGTTTGGTCTTTATTTTAGAGAAGTTACTGAATGTTTTAAACAAGTGATAACCAGATCATGTTTCTCTTTTAGAAGGATCACTCTGGCAACTTTCAGGATGAATTGGAGAGTTGGGGTCCTGACAAAAGAGCGATCAACTGAGAGCCAAATGCAGTAGTCCAAGAAGTAAGTGTTCCCTCCAGCAGTAATCCAGGAGATAAATGAGGACCTGAACCTAGGAGTCAGCAATGGGAAGTGGGTGGAGGGTATGACTAGGAGACAGTTGTGTCATTGCAATGAGAATGAGAGATCATGATCAATAATTGGTTAAAGGGTTAAAGAGAGGAACTGTTAATGGCTTCCAGATGTCTGGCTTGAGTAACTAGATGGATGATAGTGCCACACACAAAGGCAAGAACTGTAGGAAGACGAGCAGTTGGGAGGAAGAACAATAGGTTCAATATTGGATGTGTGGGGTACCTGTGAGGCACTGAGGTGAAGCTGCAGGTGTGTGATACATGGCCATGTGGATTGTGCTGTGCATCACTCCAAGGACTGCCATTCACAAAGGCTGCAAAGTGAATGTACTTCCTGGAGCTAAGCAATGTGGGAGCCCTGCATTGGAGCTTTAAGTTGGAGATACAGTTTGAGGAATCATCAGCATAGTGGGAAATGCTGAAAAAGAGAAGTTATGATCACCTATGAAAAGGAGTGTGAGAAAAAGTTATTTCTCTAAAGTCCATTCACCGAAGTTGTATGCAGTATTTTTAGTATAAATGCACATGCGTGTATTTTCTAGGAAGAGCATCCTTAGCTTCCAATATGTGTTCTGAGGGAACTACAACCCCAGTGAAGTTAAGGACCACTACCATACTGAGATGACAACCACTGATATTTAAAGGGGAAAGAGAAAAGCCAGCAAAGAAGACTGAAAAGAAGTCCGATCGGTGAACTATCAGAACAGCAGCACAAAAGCTTGGAGAAGGGAGAAATCATCGTCACAAGCCAAAGAAAAATGAGTACTGGACAGAATTCCTTGAATTTGGCAATCAGGAAGTTGCTATGACAGTTCCCTGAACAATTTCGGTGTAAAGTAGGACAGGTCTCAATCA